CAGGACCTTCACCGCCTTCACTGGTTCTGATTTGAAAGAGAGGTAGAGCTGGGTGTTAATTAACCATATGTCAGGAGTGCTCTGATGGTGTTTCCTGCTTGGCAGGGGGTTGGACTCGATGGCCCTTGTGGTCTCTTCCAACTCTATGATTCTATGATTCTAATTCTGCTAGCCCCTCCAACTTGTGCTTGGGTTTTATATGTATGTAAATAAAACCATAAATCATAAAGACACTGCAGACTCCGCTGAGCTCCATTGCAAGGAAACCAAACCTTGGGTAAGTGTTGGGAACCCCTGGAGTCTCTCGCTGCCCAGAGATCGAGGTAGCATAAAGCCCTGAACACACTCCTGGAAACATATGTATGAGCAATATCCCATTGCCTTGAGCCTTTTGACGGAGAAGCAGGAGGAGGAATTCAGCCCTGCTGACCCACCTCTGGGCTGGAAGGGTCTCGCTGACCTCACAGATTCCTGGCTGCTGAGTTATGTCCTCTCACTGACAGTGGGTAAATATTTTCCCTGGCAGCCGAGCCTCCCTTGCAAGCCTGGCTTGGGAATGTCCCCTCCCCCTTCGGACGTTGCTGGAGGAGCCTTTGTTGCCTCTAAGGAGATGCCAGCTGATAAAGGGGTGCCAAAGAGACCACCCTCCTCCTGCAGGAGCCGCCCCCCCAAAAAAATCCAAGTATTGTTATTAGGATTGCAAATTGGTAAACAAATCTCTGTCACTGCAGATGGTGACAGCAGTCACGAAATTAAAAAACGCCTGCTTCTTGGGAGAAAAGCAATGACAAACCTAGACAGCATCTTAAAAAGCAGAGACATCACCTTGCCAGCAAAGGTCCGTATAGTTAAAGCTCTGGTTTTCCCAGTAGTGATGTATGGAAGTGAGAGCTGGATCATTAAGAAGGCTGATCGCCGAAGAATGGATGCTTTTGAATTCTGGTGCTGGAGGAGACTCTTGAGAATCCCATGGACTGAAAGAAGATCAAACCTCTCCATTCTGAAGGAAATCAGCCCTGAGTGCTCACTGGAAGGACAGATCCTGAAGCTGAGGCTCCAAGACTTTGGCCACCTCATGAGAAGAGAAGACTCCCTGGAAAAGACCCTGATGTTGGGAAAGATGGAGGGCACAAGGAGAAGGGGACCACAGAGGACGAGATGGTGGGACAGTGTTCTCAAAGCTACTAGCATGAGTTTGACCAAACTGCGGGAGGCAGTGAAAGACAGGAGTGCCTGGCGTGCTCTGGTCCATGGGGTCACAAAGAGTCGTACACGACTAAATGACTAAACAACAACAACAATATATATATGATGCTTTCAGTTCCAAAGTTCAGAATGCTCTCCTGGAAGAGAGAATGCCTTAGATTCTGGAGATGCCTGTACAGAAAACACACCTTGCCCCTTATCAGAGAGGAATGCAAAGAGTTTCCAAGTGATGATGGGGGAGAGAGTGAGTTTCATTCCTTCATTCTCCCTGCCAGCCTCCTGCAGTTTATAAATCATGGAGCTGCAGAATTGGAAGGTACCCAGAAAATTCATCTAGTCCAACCCCCTGGTTTGCAGGGAGGCAGCAGCCTTCCCCGATCTAGTGCCCTCCAGGTGCGTTGGACTACAACTCCCGTGGGCACCCAGAGAGCACCGGCTTTCGGGAGGTTGATGCTTCCACCGACACTTCCTCTCCTCTCCTGCCACTTGTGACTTCCTGCTCTGGTTCCTTCGTATCACATGCTGCTGCAGGCTGGGGGGGACAGGCATCTAGGGGGGAGGCTGACTCAGCGGGCTTCACATGCTGACCTTGCTGAAACCAGCAGCGGGTCGAAAGAGCACCCAGTTCCTGCACATGGGAAGCGTGAAGATCTGATAATCTGCTCAGTTTCTTTTCCTGATAATGCAACAGCTACTTCCTCTGGAGGAAAGTGAAAGAATGCGCTGAGTCCAGCAAAGCACAGAGACCAAAGACCTGAATGGCAGAAAAAAATGGGCGGAACCTTGAGATCAGTTTTGGTTCTTTGACTATGGTTGCCAGACGCCCCCATTTCCCGGGGACAGTCCCCAGATTTACAAATCTGTCCCCGGACAAAATCCGTCTCCGGAATGTCCCCGGATTTCATTTAATGTTCCCGGATTTATATTTTAAGTGTTGTAGATTTATTAGTAGGGAATGAAGGTTGTGTGATTGGTTCAACGGCACAAGACACATCATATGGGGTCCAGTATACCTGAAGGAGCGTCTCCACCTCCATCGTTCTGGCCGAACACTGAGGTCCAGCACTGAGGGCCTTCTGGCAGTTCCCTCATTGTGAGAAACAAAGCTACAGGGAACCAGGCAGAGGGCCTTCTTGGTAGTGGCACCCGTCCTGTAGAACGCCCTCCCACCAGATGTCAAAGAGAGAAAAAACTACCAAACTTTTAGAAGACATCTTAAGGCAGCCCTGTTTAGGGAAGCTTTTAATGTTTAATAGGTTATTGTATTTTAGTGTTTTATTGGAAGCCGCCCAGAGTGGCTGGGGAAACCCAGCCAGATGGGTGGGGTATAAATAATAAATTATTATTATTATATTATTATTCCAGTGAGGCAAAATGGCAGGCACCATGGCAGCAAGCAGCTCCTGAAGCCAGCCAGAGCCAACTGCACTACCAGGCTGGCTCCAGGCTGCTGTGACTGCTGCTGCCACTGCCAAGGGGAAACCAGTGACACCTGGCGCATCAATTGGGGGAACCGCTTACCCCCTGTGACCCAAATCGAGCTGGGAGAGAAAGCCCCTGGCCACCCAGCCAACTGCCCAGCGGCGCTCCGGGTCCAAGAAAACCCTGGAGCCAACGCAGGGAGAAGGCAGAAAGGAGAAGGAGAAGGAAGAGAGAGAAAGAGGAAGGAGAAAAAAGAGGGGAGCCCTGACCTTGCCACGCCACTGCAGCCGCTGAGGAGGAGAGGTAGGAGAGCAAGGAACATGTGGCAGAGCCCAGGCCTGACCTGAGCCTACTCCACGGTGGCTGGCGCTCCAAGAGAGCAGGCCAGGGTCCAGAGGAAGCCGTGCAACAAAGGAGACCACAGAAGAGAAGATATTACTTCTTAATTATTATTTTTTAATAACTTTCTTTTCTCTTTAAAAAAAAGAAGTGTCCCCAGATTCTTTGAAAAAGTTCTGGTAACCTTACCTTTGACTTTCCTTGTTGCAGCAGCGATGGGAAAACACAGACCAGAGGCCCAATGTGACCCACGGATCCTTGCTATCTATCTAAGTCTCTTTTTTTAAATAATAATTTTTATTGAATTTTACATTTTATCACAATAACATCATATCAAATAACAAAAGAAAAACAATTCCCCACTTTCTCCCTCTCCCCCCCATGACTTCCTCCCCTGGTTTTTTTTTTTACATTTCAACTTTTTCTGCTTGTTTGTTATCTCTTAATATGAAGTTCTTTAAATTCAATGATGTTTTGCTCTTATATCATCATGACATCGTCTTTGTAATTTCTATGTCCATTTTGATAATTGTAAGTGTTTACTCAAATCCTGCTAGTAAGTCCATGTTTTTACGTTGTTTCTGTAGATACAAACATAAACGGCTCCCAGTCTTTTTTAAAGTCTCTATTGTCCTCCTCTCTGAGTCTTTCAGTTAGCTTCGCCATTTCAGCGTATTCCATCAGTTTTTCTTACCATTCTTCTTTAGTTGGTATTTTGGCACTTTTCCATCTTTGGGCTAGCAATATCCTTGTCGCGGTTGTTAGCATACATAACAAGTTACTTCTTTTCTTTTGGCAGTTCTTGATCTGAAATGCCTAGTAAAAAAAGCTTCTGGACTATCTATCTAACGTTTGAGGCTCTTCTGTGCTGATCGTGCCCCTCCGTGAAGAAGAAAAAGAGTTTGGATTTGATATCCCGCTTTATCACTACCCAAAGGAGTCTCAAAGCGGCTAACATTCTCCTTTCCCTTCCTCCCCCACAACAAACACTCTGTGAGGTGAGTGGGGCTGAGAGACTTCAGAGAAGTGTGACTGGCCCAAGGTCACCCAGCAGCTGCTTGTGGAGGAGCGGAGACGCGAACCCGGTTCCCCAGATTACCAGTCTACTGCTCTTAACCACTACACCACACTGGCTCTCTGGATTGGGATTTGACATGTTAATTGGAAGTTCTTATTGGGAAATTAATAAAGGCTCTAACAACAACAACAAAAAGATGTTCTGCCACAGCAACACTTAAGAAACTGAGGCCATGGGCTTTATTTCTGCATTACACTGTTAAAGGAAGTTCAAAGTAGGACAAGGAGAAGAACCCAAGGAACATATCAACAACAAAAACCACCAGCAGAAATTGATTTCAATACACCGCAAGCCTAGGGACACAGGGCCAAGCTTGGGAATACTAGTTGAGTGGGCCAGCGGTGTGACTTGGTATAAGCACCATATCTCTCAGCAGAATCTTCTGCAAAGCCATCAAGAGGATGGTGCTCTTGCCTTCATGTTTGCATGCTTCCCATTTGGTGGGTCCACCGTGAGAAACAGGATAACCCTTTGGCCTGATGCAGCTGCAGGGTCCTTCTTATCTGGTCAACGAAGCCCCCTGCAGAAGGGAGGATTATGTTTAATCTGTAACTTAAGTACATCCCTAACTCTGTGTGTGACAGCAGCCAGCTGAGAACAGCTTCTGTGGAATTACATAACCCCAAAACTCCTAGTTTCCTTGCAGTTCCTTCTGTTGTTCCTCCCAGGGTTTGACTTGAGAAGCTGTTTATCATTCTTGCTGCTCTCTGGATTCTTTCCAACTTGTCACCCACATCCATCTTGAACTGCAGTGCCCAGCACTGAACCCAGAAGGCTGTTCCCTGCTGCTGCTTCTTCCTCCTCCTCCTCCCTCCCAAGATGTCTCATCAGCGCTGAATGATGAGCGTTTTAAGTGATTGGGCCCAGAATGAGAACAGCTGACACAATTTGGGACTTCCCAGAACAGGAGGCAGATAAAGCTCTCCCAGACCAGAAGTTCTGCATTCTCCTGGACCGCTTTGTCCTTGAGGTCCAGCATCCCGTTTAGAAGCCCAGAAGCAGCATCGCTCCATTGTGTGTGGCAGAGAGTTCCAAAGGACCGCGGAGACCTGTTGCAGGAGGAGCTGCTCTCTGGGAAAAGGCAAGGCAGACCCATTTCAATCATGTTACTGGTTGTTGTTGTTGTTGTTGTTGTTGTTGTTGTGTTTATTTTGCAGTTGGTAGCCGCCTTGAGCATTACTGATTATTTGAGAGTATGCAGAGTTGGAAAAGGTTTGGAAAAGGGGATGAAGCATCTCCGCTACGAAGGAAGATTGCAGCGTTTGGGACATATTAGTTTAGAGGGAAACAGAGTAAGAGGTTACACAATGGAAATTTATAGAATTATGCATGGCGTAGAGAAAGTGGATTGGGAAAAGCTTTTCTCCGTCTCATAACACTTGCAGACATCCAGTGAAACTTAGGAGTGGAAGATTTGGGACAGATAACACAAGAACAGGGCCTTTTCTGCAGTGGCTCCCTGTTTGTGGAATGCTCTCCCCAGGGAAGTTTGCCTGGCACCTTCATTATACACCTTTAGGTGCCAGGCAAAAGCGTTCTTCAGGAACCAGGCCTTGGGCTGATTGACATCCAATGCCCTTTTAAAATGTGTTGGGGAAAAGGGAATTATTGGGTTATCTTTGTTTTTATTATCTTTTTTGTGTTTCTGCATTGTGATTTTGTGTTGTAAGCACCTTCTCTGAGAGCTGGGGGTATAGGGCAGTATACAAATCATCATCACCATCATCACAACAACTTATTCATGCAGCAGAGAGTTGAATTATGGCACTTGCTCCCATAAAGGCACTCCAACCCCATGGGGCTGAGGCCTCTACAACCCACCCCCAATATCTGCTGGGACAGGGCTCAGCCCCCCCACCAAACTTTTTTCAATAGAAAATTTTTATTAATTTTCACATGGACAAATATACATAATATATAATACAAAAGATGATACAAATGGAAAAAGAGTAGGAAAAGATAGAAAAACAAGCATAAACAAATACAATATATTACACTTACATAACAAATTAAAATAGTAACTTCCAATAATTCTCATTATACTACTTATATTATCTGTATTCCTTGCACAGATTCATATTATTTTATTTTGTATATAGATATATAAAATCCACTATTATATTTTAGATAATTCTTGGTTATCAGTATCACTCTATTTCTGCAAGCATCTTATTGTTCGCACTGTACATTTTCATGTATTCTTTCAATATTTCCCATTCCTTAAATACCTTTTGGTTTGACATTCCTCTAATTTTTCCAGTCGATTTTGCTAGTTGCAGGTATTCTATCATACGAATTTGCCACTCTGTGATCATTGGTAAGATTTTATTTTTTCCAATTTCCAATTATTCTGGCATCGATCTTGGACAGGCCTGGCGCAATGTCGCCCCGGGCTGCACTACATTGGGAGACGTAACCTCACCCCCCTGCGCCATGTTGGGCTCAACTCAGCGCTTGTGCTCCCATAGGAGGCAGGGGCGGCCCCCAACTTGGATGGCTTTAAAAGAGGATTAGACAATTTAATGAGGAGAGGGCTATCAGTGGCTACTAGCCAGGATGCCTATGCACTGCCTCCATGGCTGGTGGTAGTGAATGCCAGTGGCTGGAAACACCAGGATGAGAGAGTTTCTCTTGTGTTCGAATCCTGCTTGCAGGCTTCCCCCAGAATAGAATAGAATTTATTATTTATACCCCGCCCATCTGGCTGGGTTTCCCCAGCCACTCTGGCCGGCTTCCAACAGAGTATTAAAATACAGTAGTCTGTTAAATATTAAAAGCTTCCCTAAACAGGGCTGCCTTCAGATGTCTTCTAAAAGTCTGGTAGTTGTTGTTCTCTTTGACATCTGGTGGGAGGGCATTCCACAGGGCGGGTGCCACCACCGAGAAGGCCCTCTGTCTGGTTCCCTGTAACTTGGCTTCTCGCAGGGAGGGAACCGCCAGAAGGCCCTCGGAGCTGGACCTCGGTGTCCGGGCAGAACGATGGGGGTGGAGACACTCCTTCAGGTATACTGGGCTGAGGCTGTTCAGGGTTTTCAAGGTCAGCACCAACACTTTGAATTGTGCTTGGAAACATACTGAGAGCCAATGTAGGTATTTCAGGACCGGTGTTATGTGGGCTCAGCGGCCGCTCCCAGTCACCAGTCTGGCTGCCACTTCTGGATTAGTTGCAGTTTCCGGGTCACCTTCAAAGGTAGCCCCACGTAGAGCGCATGGCAGTAGTCCAAGCAGGAGATAACCAGAGCATGCACCACTCTGGAGAGAAAGTCTGTGGGCAGGGAGGGTCTCATCCTGCGTACCAGATGGAGCTGGTAAACAGAATTGACCTGCGCCTCCATGGACAGCTGTGACTCCAAAATGACTCCCAGGCTGCACACCTCTCTCTCCCTCCCTCCCTCTCTGAGAGAGAGAGAGAGAGAGAGAGAGAGAGAGAGAGAGAGAGAGAGACATGTCAATCTATTCCGCTCAATCAAAGCTTGGTATGTTCCATCAGACGCTATAAAATTCCCAAGTGGAAATGGAAAAACATTTTAAAGCTTGAATGATGGATAGGCAAGGAGGACTTGATCCCATATCACCCACATCCCATTTTCCTCCCACGAGATCACAAAGCAGCCTTTTGGACTCACTGAAGTAGGTTGGGCTGAGAGAGAGTGCAACAAGGCCACTTGGTGCTTCAAAACAAAGCAGGGAGACTCATGAAGGTCTCTCTCTGGTCCACGTCCAACACTTTCCACTTCTATCCTTCTGAAGCGGGGAGGAAATCCAGACACACAGAGAGAAACCAATTTTCAGTGTTCTGGATTAGGGTACCTGGGGGAGAAGTTATTGTTACACACCGCCCCTGGCAGCAAGCACTATTTTTCATTTTAAAATACAGTATTAAAGGTAAAGGGGCCCCTGACCATTAGGTCCAGTCGTGGCCAACTCTGGGGTTGCGGCGCTCATCTCGCTTTATTGGCCGAGGGAGCCGGTGTACAGCTTCCGGGTCATGTGGCCAGCATGACTAAGCCGCTTCTGGCGAACCAGAGCAGCACACGGAAACACCGTTTACCTTCCCGCCGGAGCGGTACCTATTTATCTACTTGAACTTTTGGCATGCTTTTGAACTGCTAGGTTGGCAGGAGCAGGGACTGAGCAATGGGAGCTCACCCCGTTGCAGGGATTTGAGCTGCCGACCTTCTGATCGGCAAGTCCTAGGCTCTGTGGTTTAACCCACAGTGCCACCCGCATCCCTAAAATACAGTATTAGAGCACTTGTATTCTTTAGTGGTTAGTGGGTCAGGCTAGGACCTGGGAGATCAGGGTTCAAATCTCCACTCAACCACAAAGCTCACTGAGTGGCCAAGGATCAGACAGAGTTTCTTGGCCTAACTCACCTCACAGGCTTGTTGTGATGATAAAATGGGATGGGAGAGGGAGAGAACCATGAATGTGACCTTGAACTCCTTGTAGGAAAAGTGTGATATATTCTGCCAACAGAGATTTAGCAGGCACCTTCTGTTTTAAAACTGAAATGCCTACTGATTTTTTTTTCTATTCCGACAGCCAATTAAGAATACATATTTCCATAATGGTTAACTGAGGTGCATTTTTAACTTCATATATATATATATATATATATATATATATATATATATATAGAATGGTTTTATGCATTTCTGTTGTAAGTCACCTTGATTTTTAAAAATGAAATAACTACTTTTAAATAAATAAGTAATAAACACATGTCAGAATAAATAAATCCATTTGAACAACATCAAAAACTCTCCTGAAATGTGAACCCTGATTTCCCAGTGTAGGGCTTCAGCAATAAAGATTATCGTATCGTATCATATCTAGGCAGTGGTTTCAACTAGATGACTCTAGTCCAACACTACACTTCTAGGATTCCAACTGTTGCCACATAGCTCTGTTGGCTCCCACAGTGGCATATTAAAAAATAATGAATAACTGTTGACCTGGGCCTGACTAGCAGAAGTGCAAAACTATTCCTCCTCCTGTTACGGTTTCAGTGACGCACTATGGGCTGGGAAAGTCTACCAAAACCCAGTGACATCTGGGCATTTGCCTGAGCATCCCACTCAGACCTCCAAATAGCAAGTGGGCCAGGGCGTTTTTTCAGCCAGAACTTGCTGGACCTCTCAGGTGGGTGCCATTGCAATTATAAGAGAACAAGGGAGGCGTTCGTGGTGAGTTCCAGCACTTCTTTTTCTAGAAAAATAGCACTGGGGACATCTATCAGGGAGAAGAGGAAGGGGAGCGTTGCTCTCCATCTCCCTTTTGAAACGTCCCGTCTGTTTCCTGAACTCAGCCCTTGGCAGCAGCTTCCAAATGAGTTTCGTTTCTTCCGATCAGCCTCACCCATCTGACCCCAGAGCCCAAGTTCCTCTGCTCGCAGCAACAGGCCCTGACCAAGGCATGCAGAGTGGGGCTGTCTCTGATGGGCTCTAAAATCCAAAATCTGGATTAATGTTTTCAGTTTCCTTTGAGCAACCAACAGCCAATGGCCATTAACATCTGCGCGCACACACACACACATGTGCGCGCGCGCACACGCACACACACACACACACACACACACGTGCCTTTTCCTTGCAGAAGTCTATCTCTGGTCCTAAAAGGATTGACGCTGGAAGGCAATTGTCATTGTCCCATACAGAACAACGAAATTGAGAAATCTGCATAAGACATTCAAAAACCAACAAGCCTGCTATCCCAGCCACCCCAACCTGGTTAGCCCCCTAAAAACTCTGATACCCCATAATTAAATACAATATACTCCCATAGAGGCTCCTTACACTGCATTTAAAACCAAAATCACATTTGGATAGAAACTGTTTCTCAGGCGGCTAGTCCTAGTCTTTATAACCCTGGACCTTCTTCCAGAAGGCAGAAGCTGAAAGAGATCATTTCCGGGGTGCACACTGTTGTTGTTGTTGTTTAGTCATTTAGTCGTGTCCGACTCTTCGTGACCCCCTGGACCAGAGCACGCCAGGCACTCCTGTCTTCCACTGCCTCCTGCAGTTAGCTGCTAGGTAGGTGGGTGAGCTGAGCTGGAAGAAGGCAGGAAGCTATAGACCCAGAGACCTGCTTGCTCCGTGCAGGATCCAAAGCTGTGACTAATGAAGAGGCAAGATATTTTAAGGTGTTGTTGTTGCAAGCCCCTCTGTCCTATGCTCAGGTTGCATATGTAGAAAGCCTCCAAGTGTCTCCATTTTCCAGGGACAGTTCCGGATTCACATAAGCCATCCTCATTTCTGATTTGATCCTGGAATGACCTGCTTAGGACAATCCTGTTTTCATTGGAGAAATGTTGGAGGGTATGTAAGACCGGATATCCTAAAGACAGCCTCCACTAGGCAAGTGCCTGGAACCCCTGGTGTCTCTAACCGCTCAGAGACTGGGGTGGCATGTGACGTTATTATTGCTGCTGCTGTCGTTGTTGTTGACAGATTTTACAAACAAGGCAGTCCCTGCCTGCAGGCTTGCAGTCTCCTGGGCACGACTCAAAAGGGCAGCGCTGACATCGCCTTCATCATTGCAACAAAAACAACAATTCAGCTCCATTTGGTACGCAGGATGAGACCCTACCTGCCCGTGGACTGTCTCGCCAGAGTGGTGCATGCTCTGGTTATCTCCCGCTTGGACTACTTCAATGCACTCTATGTGGGGCTACCTTTGAAGGTGACCCGGAAACTGCAACTAATCCAGAATGCGACAGCTAGACTGGTGACTGGGAACGGCCACCGAGACCACATGACACCGGTCTTGAAAGACCTACACTGGCTCCCAGTACGTTTCCAAGCCCAATTCAAAGTGTTGGTGCTGACCTTGAAAGCCCTAAACGGCCTCGGTCCAGTATACCTGAAGGAGCGTCTCCAACCCCCATCGTTCTGCCCAAACACTGAGGTCCAGTGCTGAGGTCCTTCTGGCGGTTCCCTCGCTGCGAGAAGCCAAGTTACAGGGAACCAGGCAGAGGGCCTTCTTGGTAGTGGCACCCACCCTGTGGAATGCCCTCCCACCAGATGTCAAAGAGAAAAACAACTACCAGACTTTTAGAAGACATCTGAAGGCAGCCCTGTTTAGGGAAGCTTTTAATGTTTAATAGACTAATGTATTTTAATATTTTGTTGGAAGCCACCCAGAGTGGCCAGGAAAACCCAGACAGATGGGTGGGGTATAAATAATAAATAATAAATTATTATTATTATTATTATTCAGCACATTGAGAGAGCGCATAGCTCAGAGACTGAGCACAGGTCCCAGGTTCAGCATTTGGCGTCTCCCCCTGAAACAGGGACAGGGAACCTGAAGACTTCGAGATGCTCATAGACCCCAGCTCCCACCAGCCCCAATTGCAGGGAATGATGGGAGTTGTAGTCCAACAGGATCTGGTGGGCCACAGGCATTCCACATTCCGTGGCCCATTTGGTCAAAGGTGTGCTCATCTTTTGGGGAGGTCTTGAATCTAACTGTGAACTTTGCTTTGCTTTCCCCTCCAGGAATTTGCCCTTGAATCAGCCGCTCCCACCGGCTATGCCTTTGCTCTTCTTCCTTTTTGCATTCTCCAGTTATGTCGCCCAAGGTATGTTTGCTAAATACTAAACCTGATTGCTGAAATGTAGCCTTATTAGACTCTACCGATTGGTAGGGTGAGCGTTGCTCCCAGAACAGGGAGGAAGGAGTCAAATGACACCGAGGTTGATTCAGAGAAAGAGTTTATTCTGCTCTCCGGATAGCAGAAGGCACTTGCGTGGTCAGTTCACAGCAAGTCCAAAGAAATGAGAGATTTCATGCAGTATATATATCCTCCAGGCACCCTCTCCCCCCTTCCCCAGGAATCCAGACACGTAAGCTTATACACGTAAGTTGACATCACAGATGTTCCTGCTCGTGTACTCTTAACCATAAAAGGGTGTTCCAGTTCCTGTATTCCTTATCTTGGGGTAAGAAGGTCACCAATTCTAAGAGTCCTCCTGGCGCCGTTCCCGGGGGGCTAACAAGGTCTGTGTGTCACTGTGGTCAGGTGCCATCCCTGCTCCACTGGAACTGGCAAGGCCATCCATTGCCGTCATGGACTGATAAAGGAGATGGCTTTGAGCACTTGTTTATACAGCTGGCTTTCTGTTTATACATTGACTCAAGAGCTCAAGTTAATGCATTTTAGAAATGCTCCCTTGGAGGGGGAAAAATGAGGATTTGGGGTCCCGTTTCAGACTGACTGCACAGAACCCATTCCTTCCCCCTTCAGTAACAAGTCCTTTCAGGGCAAAAGGTGAGATATAAATAAATAATAATAATTCCTATTGCAGCCTTTGGTTCCTGGGCTGTCACGACTCCCGAACATTTGTGGAGCGTCAAAGACTCCTGCGTCTTCATCCCGTGCACCTTCAGCTACCCCAGCAACGTCGCTGCCCCAAATGGCATCACGGCCATTTGGTACAAAGATATCACAGGGCAGAAGGCTTTGGTTTACCACTCAGCAACTCCTGGTAGCGTTGAGGGCCGGTTTCAAGGGCGCACAGAGCTGCTGGGAGACCCCCTCCAGCGCAATTGCACCTTGCTTCTGAGGGGTGTGACAACCGCAGATGCCGGCAAGTACACCTTCCGGTTCGAAATCAGCGAGGGGAACCGCTGGTCCGATCAAAAGGGGGTTGTTTTAACCGTCACCGGTAAGTAACCAGACACTCCCTGCCCACAAAAGTCTGCTTTGTGATGCATCCCGATTTCTCGACTGTTTTTGCTAAGCCTACCCGTCCTCAGGGCTTAAGCCAGCCTTCTTCATCCTGCTGCCTTCCAGATGTTTTGGACTACAACTCCCATCAGACAGGGAGCTGGAGTGCAAAACATCTGGAGGGCAAAGCCTGTCTTAAAACAACTGAATGGAAGCTACTAAATTAGGAAAGGCTGCGCACCACTGTATCAAGCTGGAAAACCCCCTCTGCTGTTTAACCAAGCCGTTTACAGAATCATAGAGACATCTAGTCCAAAAAACTGCAATGCAGGAATATGTGGTTTGCCCCTACGGGGATCAAACCCATGACCTTGGCTTTATCAGCACCACGCTCTAACCAACTGAGCCACCTGCAGGCCATTATCATCAGGGATTTGTGATGGAGTGAAGGCTGTTTGCTGATTGTGGTTGGCTGAGCTGCTCTGAGGTCACAGAGAGGCAGGGCAGGCAGAAGGACCTCGCTGTGATTGGCTGGACTGCTTTGACCTAAAGCACAGTTGGCCAAAAAAATTTCCAACATGAGGGTTGTATTGATGGTCAGGGCCACATGCCAGGAATGGGCACAGCCAATATATCTGTTTGTGTGTGAGGGTGTACACCCACATTGCATGCAGCACACATGTGAGACGCACACAGATACACTCGCCACTAGGGATGGCAACAAACCTTCCCAAAAGTGAACAAAAGAGCAAGCCTGGCTCATTGCAGGGGCTGCATTAGATGACCTCAGGGTTCCTTCCAACTCTACAATTCCAAAAGCACAGTCTGATCACAAATGGGGAGAGATCTGTTGTGCTCAGATCCTGCTGCCAGGCTTCCCATAGAAATCTGGGTGGCCTCTGTGACTAGGTGGGCCATTGGCCTGACCCTGCTGCAGGTCTCTTCCTGTGGGATATATTGATTAATATTATCCTTCCTAACTCGTGTTAGCAAGTTTATTCACTTAGTAGACTGCATTTCCCTATTACTCAGCAGGAAGCTGGTTGCAGACTTGTTAGAGAGACAATATGCAATTCCATCTGGCTTGCCCAGATTGAAATACAGTGGTACCTCTAGTTATGAACTTAATTCGTTCCGGAAGTCCGTTCTTAAGCCAAAGCGTTCTTAAACCAAGGTGTGCTTTCCCATAGCAGCGGGGGACTCAATTTACAAATGGAACACACTCAAAAGGAAGCGAAACATGTTTTGCTTCCAAGGCAAAGTTCACAGACCAAAACACCTACTTCCGGGTTTGCAGCGTTCTTAATCCAAGTTGTTCATAAACTAAGCTGTTCTTAAACCAAGGTACCACTGTACTGGGGATGATACAATACGATATCTTTATTGTCATTGTCCCATAAAGAACAATGAAATTGAAAAATCTACATAAGACATTCAAAAACCCCTAAAAACTCTGAAACCCCATTTTAAAATACAATTATCACTCTATCTTACATATCCCAGTACCTAATACAACTCTAACAGATCCCCAAGCAGCTTCCTGACTAAAGATGTAAAATTTAACAGAAATACAGTGGTACCTCGGGTTATGAACTTAATTCGTTCTGGAGGTCCGTTCTTAAGCTGAAACCATTCTTATCCTGAGGCGCACTTTCGCTAATGGGGCCTCTGGCGCGCGATTTCCGTTTGCAACCTGGGGCAAAGTTAGCAAACGGGAGCAGCTGCTTCCGGGTTAGAGGAGCTCGTAACCTGAAGTGTTCGTAACCAGAGGTACAACTGTATGTTTTATTATTTCTGGTAAGACCCCTTTGATCCCTCCTAAAAGAATAAAGATACAACAGTCTTATTCATAAGTAACAAAAAGAAGTTTTACTCGCGATCAGGTGATCCCTGAAGGCAGGCTTTAGGCTTAAAGTTACAAATACTGTATGTACAAACAGGTTTACCCCATATGGGTGATAACCTACGTCCAGGTACAGTCCAGGTGACGCAGGAAGCAGGCAGAATGAAAAAGAAGGGAAAGAGAGGGAGGTGGCTACGTGACTTGGCTTTTTACCAGGTCTGGAAAGGTCACACCCACCTACTTGTTGTTGTTGTTCAGTCGTTTAGTCGTGTCCGATTCTTCGTGACCCCCTGGACCAGAGCACGCCAGGCACTCCTGTCTTCGAGTGAACATGCAAAAGGAAGGATGCTCCAGGCCAGGTGTAACAGGAAGTTCAACTGGCTGGACCAACGTTCCCCTGCATGTTCACTCTAGGCAAACAGGAAATGTTGTACTTGACTGCTCCAGAGGATTACATCTCACACTTCCAACATGTTTATGTTCAATTGTCTGTTTAGAATGGAAGGGAGGTTGGGTGTCCAGACCCAGCAGTTAAAGAAATGTGGACATTGTTGAGGAGGTTCGTAGGAGAGGCTGAGCAGGAAAATGAAACAGTCCATTGCACATTGTGGATTTTTGACAGCAGTGTGATGCCTTTCATGGGCACCAGAGGAAGTGCAGGCAGGCAGCCTGGCGCCCGCGGGCACTGTGTTGGCTACCCCGATCTAGTGCTGCTTCTTATCTCCCTACCCATTCAGACCATCCCTTTCTTTTCTTTCTTTCTTTCTTTCTTTCTTTCTTTTTTTTTTGTTTGTTTTATTAAAGATTTTCTTGATATACAGAAGTATGTGTAATGTCTCTCGTATTTTATCCATGTAACATTTTTACAAATCAGTTTCATTTGTTGAGACATTAGGAAGAAAAGGGATGGAGAGGGGAAAGATGGGTGGGGTCAGGTGGCGATGTTCCTACTTTCAGCAGCCAGAAACACCATAACCAGACACTGGAGAGACCTGTCAGGAGTAAGCATGGACCAATGGTACCAAATAGTATGGGAAACAGCCCTACTAGAAAAATAAGCTGAATAATAAACTGAATAAACTGAAACTGACACAGGGACAAACAGAAGAAGACACCTTCACCCCAGTATGGCTCCCCTTTATCACATACACAGCCCAACAAGACAACAACAAAAATCCACCAACAGCATACAAATCAATATGGCTAACCTGATCCAAAACACCCACGCACCCCACTCACACATGAAAACAAAGACCACCACAGGCAACCACAAACAAACAACCACACCCTAGGCCAACTCCAACCTCTCTCACCACTAGAGGAACACAAGTGAACAGCAGAGAACCTGCACGAGCAATGCTGACACCAAACCCTACATACATTAAGCAAAACAGACCATCCCTTTCTATTCCCTTTTGTTTAACCAGGTTGGGGTGTCTCCTTCCAGCTGATTCTCTTCCCATCGTCAGCTTCCCCTCAGTGATAACCATTCACCAAGTTTATGCACAAATTTGTCCTCCCAGCCCAGTGTACACCCAGACCACAGGCACTCTGCTTGGTTCCTCATTCCTATCTTTAGCCCAGGCATTTCTCAGGCTGTTCCTCCAAAAAAACAACAAAACAAAAAAAACTTGAGAGCAGCTAATTAAAGCTGAAATCTGAAACTTAAGCATATTTGCAACGGAAAGCCTGTGTCCCATATTCAAAAACAGAGGATATAAGAGCTGAGCTGAGCTTCACTTCTGCTTGTGCATTTCTAACTGTTTTTAGCCTGTGATGTCTTCCTTAGGTCACCTTCCAAACAACCTGTTTACAAACACTCCAAGGGACAATCCTGGATTTACGGAAGCTGTCCTGGTTTCTAATTTGATCCCAGAATGTCCCGCTTCTCCTTTGTTGTTGTTGTTTAGTCGTTTAGTCGTGTCCGACTCTTCGTGACCCCCTGGACCAGAGCACACCAGGCCCTCCTGTCTTCCACTGCCTCCCTCAGTTTGGTCAAACTCATGCTGGTAGCTTCGAGAACACTGTCCAACCATCTCATCCTCCATCGTCCCCTTCTCCTTGTGCCCTCCATCTTTCCCAGCATCAGGGTCTTTTCCAGGGAGTCTTCTCTTCTCATGAGGTGGCCAAGTCTTGGAGCCTCAGCTTCAGGATCTGTCCTTCCAGTGAGCACTCAGGGCTGATTTCCTTCAGAATGGATCGGTTTGATCTTCTTGCAGTCCATGGGACTCTCAAGAGTCTCCTCCAGCACCATAATTCAAAAGCCTCCATTCTTCGGCGATCAGCTTTCTTTATGGTCCAGCTCTCACTTCCATACATCACTACTGGGAAAACCATAGCTTTAACTATACAGACCTTTGTTGGCACGCTTTTCCTTAGGATGCCCCTATTTTTATCAGAAAAGTGTTGGAGGGTATGGAATTACCCTCCAAGCCAAGGAGATAAGTAACTGTACAACCTTTATAAGACATCTGAAGGCAGCCCTGTATAGGGAAGTTTTTTAAAAAATGTTTTTATATACGTTGGAAGCCACCCAGTGTGCTGGGGCAACCCAGCTAGATGGAAGGGGTATCATCATCACCATCATCATCATCACCTCCACCAACACCATGGAACAGAATGTCCCTATTTTCAAATGTTGGAGGGTATGTGTTTATTGGACATTCACCCTGATTGGCTGGAACCAGATTGGCTGGTTAGACAAAGTTGGCTATTTAATGAGCAGCCTTTCTGATCTGCGGGGAGGTTAGCCCATGTTGTGTCAAGCAAAAGTTATCACTACACTTTCCTACACTTTCCAGTTCATTTCCCAGTCACTTTCCTTTTTGCAAAATGCCAAATCAGGTTTAATAGCACAACCTGAATTTTCTGGTGTGTAATTTATCCCACCTGAAAATCACACCCATATGTTCCCCCCCCCCCAATAATTATGTGTCCCTCTTCCCCTCTTTCTACCTACAACTAATCAAGTGACAATTAATCAGTCATCTATATCTGTGTGAATATGGAATTGTTGGTTTGTTTGTGTTTTATTATGTATTTTATGTTCTTATTTTGTATTTTTATGTTGTGAACTGCCCTGTAATCTTCAGACGAGCAAAGATTAACTCAGAAGATTCTGCTCAGCTAAGCCCATCCTTTTGCCTTTTCTCCTTAGACTCGGTCGACATCCCCACCATTGCCTCCCCGGATGACCTTCGCGAAGGGATGGAGGTGTCCTTCAGCTGCTCCAGCCCCTACACCTGTCCCTATGACAGCATCTCCATGAGATGGCTTGGCTACGACACGACAACCTCGCTTGTGTCCAAGACACTGCAGCTGGACACAGCGGCATCACTCAGGAAGCAAACTCTGACCACTTCCTTGACCTGGAAGGACCACAACCGGGAACTGAGCTGCGAGGTGTCTGTTGGGGAGCAGGTGGCCACGGGAAGAATCACACTCAACGTGAAACGTGAGTTTATCCATGTGAGGAGGATGGAGCAGCCAGGAGGGGCAGATATCAGTGACAACAAAGAAATTACGTCTAAGTCCTGTGTAGAAATGTGGAATAGAACGGTTGTTGTTACTGTTGTTAATAAGTGAGTTAGGGGCGAAGACAGGCTCTGGTGAATGGAGCAGATGAGACCATGAGTGGCTCCAACAATCAAGAATTCGGTTCTGGACATGTTGTAGAGAGGGAAGTGAGGGGCAGATGAGGCTCCTCAACCTGGGAAGGTAGCCCCTCTAGGAGTAGGGAACTCTGATCCCAAACCTCAGCTACCTTGAGGGACATCTTTGGGAAAAGAAAAGGCCAAGGAGTAAACCCTATACAAATCAGAGCGGAGTCCCTAAGATGGTTGGATGGCATCTTGTACTCCTCCTTCCAGCAACTCCTTCAGCCAAGCTGGTGCCAAACGTCTTGCTCTGTTTTCCTTTGGACCCCATCAGCGAGGCGGGGAGGGGGGGTCTTGTCGTCTGGGCAGCCCAGGACCTCCAGACACACTGCCCAGGCTTGCTCCCCAGAGAAGTCACTTGAGTGCTGCTAACACAGCGGTTTGACTTCACCCTTGGAGGCGTACTCCGTTGTCTCTTGAGACAGATGGGTGAAAGCAGCAATCATTTATGCCCTGCCTTTTTAGTCCAAGTAGCTTTCAAAGAAATTTAATGAATAAACACATAAGGATGTGTTTGTGGGAGCGGAGGTCTTGTGTTTCTTGCGTTTTGTGTTCCCATTTTGCGTGGTTATGCTGTAACGTGCCCTGTGATCTTCCAATGAATGGCAGTATTTAGATTTAATTACAGTGGTACCTCAGGTTACAAACACCTCGGGTTACAAACACTTCGGGTTACAGACTCCACTAACCCAGAAGTAGTACCTCGGGTTTAAGAACTTTACCTCAGGATAAGAACAGAAATCGCGCGGCGGTGGCGTGGAGGCAGCGAGAGGCCCCATTAGCTAAAGTGGTACCTCAGGTTAAAAACAGTTTCAGGTTAAGAACGGACCTCCGGAATGAATTAAGTTTGTAACCAGAGGTTACCATTGGTGCTGGTTTTGACCTTTAAAGCCCTATGTGGCCTAGGACTCACGTACCTATGGGACCGCCTCTCCTGGTATGCCCCGCGGAGGATCTTAAGGTCCACAAATGACAACATTTTGGAGGTCCCAGGTCACAAGGTGGTTGGATTGATCCCAACTAGGGCCAGGGCCTTTTCAGCACTGGCCCCGACTTGGTGGAACGCTCTGTCCCAAGAGACTAGGGCCCTGAGGGACTTGACTTGCAGGGCCTGCAAGACAGAGCTGTTCCACTGGCCTTTGGTTTGGACTCAGTCTGACCCTTATGTTTCCCTCTCCTTATGGTTTTGATCTATGGACTACTTTTAAAATGAGGCTGCATTTTAAATTGCATTTTAACCTGTATTTTAAATTGGGTTTTTTTTCTTTTCCTGTTATATTTTGTAATTTTACTGGTGTTAGCCGCCCTCAGCCCGGCTCTGGCCGGGGAGGGCGGGGTATAAATAAATTTATTATTATTATTATTATTATTATTATTATTATTACCACCACTGTAATTAATAATAATAATACAGCACCCTAATAATGAAAAGACAGTGATGGCTGCCAACCTGTAAAAAAGGTAAAGGGACCCCTGACCATTAGGTCCAGTCGTGGCCGACTCTGGGGTTGCGGTGCTCATCTCGCTTTATTGGCCGAGGGAGCCGGCGTACAGCTTCCGGGTCATGTGGCCAGCATCACTAAGCCGCTTCTGGCGAACAAGAGCAGCGCACGGAAACGCCGTTTACCTTCCCTCTGGAGTGGTACCTATTTATCTACTTGCACTTTGATGTGCTTTCAAACTGCTAGGTTGGCAGGAGCAGGGACCGAGCAACAGGAGCTCACCCCGTCGCGGGGATTCAAACCGCCAACCTTCTGATCTGCAAGTCCTAGGCTCAGTGGTTTAACCCACAGCGCCACCCGCGTCCCTGGCTGCCAACCTAGATGGCTTTAAAAGAGGATTAGGCAAATTCACGGAGAAGAAGACTTGATGGCTACTGGCCTGGATGGCTATGCACTGCCTCCACACTTGAAGGCTGCAATGTTTCTGAATCCTAGTTCTCGGAAGCCACAGGAGGGGGAAATGTTGCTCTTGTGTTCAAATCCTGCTCTACTGGGTTTCCCGGAAGAGGCATGTGGTCAGCCACTGTGAGAACCGGTTGCTGGACTAGATATTCTGTTGGCCTGACCTTCTTACCTTCTTATGAAAAGACAGCCTTCATTTCCCTATGATGGATTCAGCGCTCAAGAAAATGGATGTTGCACTCAGCGAGCCACTGCCATTCCTGTTCTTTGTCTCAAAGTCTTCCGCTTGCTCTTAGATCCCCCCAAAGGTGTGAAAGTGTCACTCAATCCCTCCTCCAAGAACATCCGAGTGGGCGATGAGGTGTCCCTGACATGCACTGTGGACAGCAGCAACCCCGAAGTCACTGCCTACAGGTGGTTCAAAGATGGCGTCTCCTGCGGAAGCAAGCCGCTTAAAACCATCAGCAGTGCTGCCCGTGAGGATTACGGCCTGTACCACTGTGAGGCAGAAAACTCTGTGGGCACTGGCGTGGCCGAAGGGGTAACCCTCTATGTTTTCTGTGAGTACCAAGGAGAGGGACTTTGGTGTATGTATCTGTGTGCATATTTATTCATTTATGAGCCAGTTACATGCATCTTCATTTAAAGCAAAGGATTGTGAGAAATGTAGTTTACCCCTGAAAGAGCTACGGTTCCCAGAATCTCTTAACAAGGATACTTTGCTTTAAATGGTGCAGGTGTGATCTAAAACCAGGAGATTAAGCAGATGTGTGGGGAAGGGCAAGTGGGCTCCATCCCATATGGCCTCTGCTTTCAATTGTCCAGCTGTTGCTTCTGCTTAAAAACCACCCCTTTCTTTTCTGTTAAGCAAATATGATTGGCAGCAACACTTTTTGCCCCAAGATCGCCTTTGCCAACCTCCTGCCAGTCGGAAAACCTGGTGTGGTATAGTTCTGGCTGTGGCTGATGGGAATTGTAGTCCCCAAACATCTGGAGGGCACCTGGTTGGCTGGCAAAGATAGTTTACCGTTTAGATTTTCTTCATTACTTTGGGTTGCACCAAACATGGCCTTTTCTCCTGTTCCTTGTGGTGGGAGGGGTCCTCTCCTGCTACTTAAGACTCCCCCCAGGCAGACTGGGCTTGGAGGTAGAAGTGGAACCTTTTCCAAGATGGTTGGCATAAGGAACCAAACCAAATCCAGGAAAAGATTATTTAATTTGCCCAAATGATCTCATTTTGAATTTTGTTGTTGTTGTTGAGTCGTTTAGTCGTGTCCGACTCTTTGTGACCCCATGGACCAGAGCACGCCAGGCACTCCTGTCTTCCACTGCCTCCCGCAGTTTGGTCAAACTCATGCTGGTAGCTTTGAGAACACTGTCCAACCATCTCGTCCTCTGTCGTCCCCTTCTCCTTGTGCCCTCCATCTTTTCCAACATCAGGGTCTTTTCCAGGGAGTCGTCTCTTCTCCTGAGGTGGCCAAAGTCTTGGAGCCTCAGCTTCAGGATCTGTCCTTCCAGTGAGCACTCAGGGCTGGTTTCCTTCAGAATGGATCGGTTTGATCTTCTTGCAGTCCATGGGACTCTCAAGAGTCTCCTCCAGCACCAGAATTCAAAAGCATCCATTCTTCGGCGATCGGCTTTCTTTATGGTCCAGCTCTCACTTCCATACATCACTACTGGGAAATAGGGATTTTTAATAGAGCATGATAAATAGAGTCTTTGCTGTCCCTTGACTAGACGTGTCACCCAGTGAAGGAGGGGAAGTGTGACCAGCGCCTTTAATTCCTGGGTCATTCCATTTTTATTTCTGGTTTTCAATTTTATACATTTCATTAACTTTACAATAATTTCAACATTTTGAAACTCGACTTCTCCCCCCCCCCTTCTGCAGTTCCTTAATTTTTTTATATTTTCTGCATATTCCAAATTAACTTAACTTACTCATTTATTCGACTTCCTCCCCCCTCTTTCTGCAGTTCCTTTATTTATTTATTTTTTCTGCATATTCCGAATTAACTTACTCATTTATTCGTCTGCTTTAAATACATACTCTTATAAAACTGCAGGTTGTATTGCAAGATTCCGGGGTCATTCCAAGTATGGCATTACTGAAACTAGCTTTTTCTCACAGTTCCTTCTCCCCTAATCTTCCAGCTGCTGTGCTGTCCATCAGCCCTTCTTCCAGTGTCAGGGAAGGGGAGACGGTCACACTGACCTGCGACGTCCCTGGAGAAGACAAGCAGGAGATCCACTACAGCTGGTACAAGAATAACATCTGGATCAAGGAAGGCAGCGCCCGGATCCTGGTCTTCCATGAGGTTTCGGTGGGAGACACTGGCTATTACTCCTGCAAGGTGCAGAATGACAAAGGGAGTGAGACATCCCAAGCTATTGGCCTGAGCGTCTTCTGTGAGTTTCCTGACGTTCCCTCTTGCGCTTCATGTTCAGAGCACACTTCGTATCAGGGATGGGGAACCTGTGGTTTCTTCCCTGTTTAGGGAAGTTTTTAATGTTTGATGTTTTATTCTGTTTTTAGTGTTCTGTTGGCAGCTGCCCAGAGTGGCTGGGGAAACCCAGCCAGATGGGTGGGGCATAAATTATTATTATTATTATTATTATTATTATTCCCCACTCCTGCTTTTCAGCCTATAGCAAAATCCCTGCATTAAATGGGGGTCATCTGGCACAGAGCTGAAATACAGTCGCTTACAGATGTCCCCACTCCCATGAATAAAAACGGAGCTGATTCACAAAACCATCAATTTTCACTTGATTGGCTGCTGAACAAATTGGCTGGAATTCTATACGGATAGAAATAATAGTTCTGAAGCAATCAACATACTCCCTTGCCTAATCCATCCTTTCATTTCTTTAAAAGATTTATTTTTTTAAAAAAAATTATTACATTCCTATCCCACCTTTCCTCCAAGAGCTCAAGGTGGCGTACCTGGTTTTCTTCCTCCCTATTTTATCCTCACGACGACTCTGTGACGTAAGTTAGGCTGAGAGAGATACGGTCTGGCCAGGGCCGTCTTACCCATAGGCGCTAGGGGTGCGGGGCACCCGGGCGCCGGGCTCTCAGGGGTGCCAGGCCGAGAGTTCGGGGCCCGAGAGTTGAGTCCGGGGAAGAGCCCTTCTGTTGGTCAGAGCACCGCAGTGGGCTCTTCTGCTTCGGGTGGCTCTGCGTCGCGAGTTTGGGGGCAACCGAGCCAGCGAGACGCTGAAGCAACTGGCTGTCTAGTTCCACCCTCCTGCATGCCTGGGGCTGGCCAATCGGGGGGGGGCACCAGGTGTATGCTTAAAACAGCCCTGGGTCTGACCCCTGGCGAACTGCGTGGGGACTTGTTACCGAGCACAGTTCAAAGTGATGGTGCTGACCTTTAAAGCCCTAAATGGCCTCGGTTCATCGGTCCAGTATATCTGAAGGAGTGTCTCCACCCCCATCGTTCTGCTCGGACGCTGAGGTCCAGCGCTGAGGGCCTTCTGGCGGTTCCCTCACTGCAAGAAGCCAAGTTACAGGGAACCAGGCAGAGGGCCTTCTCGGTGGTGGCGCCCGCCCTGTGGAACGCCCTCCCACCAGATGTCAAAGAGAACAACAACTACCAGACTTTTAAAAGACATCTGAAAGCAGCCCTGTTTAGGGAAGCTTTTAATGTTTGATGTATTACTATATTTTAATATTTTGTTGGAAGCCGCCCAGAGTGGCTGGGGAAGTCCAGCCAGATGGGCGGGGTATAAATAATCAATTATTATTATAATTATTGTACCCTGTTCTCCCAGGTCCTAGTCCAATGGCAACACCACATTGGTTCCTATATGATATTCCAAGGGTCGGTCACAACCATAGAGATGATCTGCAGCGCCAGCCCTACAATTAGGCAGATTATTGTCTGGTGTTGGCTTCTGTGGGGCAGGAAGTGGCACTGAGGTGTGGAAAGACAGAGCTCTGCGTGCCACTTCTCCAGTCTGCCTTCCTCTGAGCCAAGGATGGGAAGATGTCAGGTTTGCAGAGACAACTTAGGTCTCGGTTTGCTTTTTACTAAAACCCTGAAACCCACATGCAAAACAGCAGTTTGAAATAGGGAGCAGCATGCACAGGGCTTATCCACACTTCATTTTCACCCCACACTTTTCAGGGCAGAGGTCTGTAGTTTAACACTTGTCCAAAGGTCCTTCTCCCTCCCCATTTTTCTCCGAAGATTTCCCCCATGCAAACCGCTCTTTAAAGCCAAATCACAGCCATCAGCAATTTGGGTTTTTCGCAGATTGATGTTTGTTCCAACTGAGCTCTAAAGAGCAGTTTTTCTGGGGGAAAGCTTGAACACGGAGCTTTAAAGCACGGACCCTGCATGGAAAGAGCAGAAGAAAAGTAAGTGTGGATGAGGCCTTAGAATTGTGAGACGAGGGACTTCTGCAGCTGATCCTGGAATTCCCTGCCACTTTAGGCAGCCAGGATTCAGGGTAGAGTAGAAATTCAGTCCTCATTTAAATGCAAACTTATCTAACTTGTACTTCCCTGAAAATACGCAAGCCGAAACGCAGCTCTCCTTTGAAATTCTCACTTCCTTGAATTTTGCAGAGCAGCTCTCCCGCCAAAAGTGCACACCTTAGCAGAGAGTGTGCGCAGCCATGCGCGTGTTAGTGGGAAAGACATACAAAAATGCATTATATTAGAGAAAATGGCATGCAAGAATGTATGTGTTAGGAGAAAATGCACACACACATATGCAATATTCAATATTTTGCAAGCTAACATGGAAATGTGGAGAACTGAATTTAAGAAGGGAGACAAAAGACGAGAGAAACTGAAAGTGGCCAATTTCTCTGTCCTCATTTGGGATCAGTGCGGCGTTTCTGTTCAGTTGGAGGGGAGGCGCTCCTACGAACCTGGAAATGTACCTGCTCCTAAGGTGTGCATGCAACGATCTTGTTTCTCCTGCACAGACCCTCCGAGGGCCCCCTCCCTCTCCTTGTTCCAGGAGACCCAGGAAGGGCAGCTGGCCATCATCTACTGCACCGTCGACAGCAACCCCCAGTCCGCCCTGAGCCTTTACCGGGACAAGAGGCTGATCGCGACCACCAGCTCGCACTCGGCTCCCAGCCAGCGGATCAGCATCAGCACCACACGCAACTCTTTGAAGCTGGAAATCCAGAAGGTCGTTCCAGAAGACCAGGGCGAGTACCAGTGTGTGGCATCCAACGCGTATGGGAACGCCACCACTGCGAGATTCTTCGGTGCTCAAAGTAAGATTAGTGCAATGGGTTGTGTGTGTGGCTGCCTCTGGAACTTCAGCTGGTGCAGAATTCAGTGGCCAGGTTGCTCACCAGAGCAAGCCGGTTTGAGCATATAAATCCAATCCTGGCTGCCAATTAGTTTCTGGGTCGAATTCAAAGTGCTGGTTTTGAAAGCTTACATGGCTCAGGGCTGCAATACCTCAAAGACCGCCTCTCCGCATGTGATCAAACCCAGACCCTGCGATTATCCTCTGAGGCCCTTCTTTGCGTGTCTGCTCTATGAAAGGTTCAGAGGGTAGCAGCATGAGAACAGGACCTTTTCTGTAGTGGCTCCCCACTGGTGGAATGCTCTCCCCAGGGAGGCTCACCTGGCGCCTTCGTTCCATATCTTTAGGTGCCAGGAAAGAAACATTCTTCATCAACCAAGCCTTTGGCTGTTCAGCAAACTATGGCCTTTTAAATGTGTGGTGGGGTACTGTTCTTTATATCGTTATGTTATGCATTTTGTGTTTTTATAATGCAAAACATAACATCTCCAGTTAAAAGACTCTCTGGCAGAGCAGAGTGAGACCCCAGAGTCTGTACAGCTAGCCCTGGCAGCAAAGTCCAGCGATTCGGCTCAGTATGAAACACCTTTGTATCTCCACTTGATTTGGGCTTGCCCTTCTAGCTTTGCTTGGTCAACACCACTCACCAGGTGGGTGTGGTTCCTGCACAGCACGGGGGTTCGACTAGATGACCCTTGGGGTCCCTTCCAACTCCACATTTCTATGAGGCTGAATCCTGACAAAACAGAAGTACTGTTTTGGGGGGACAGGAGGCGGGCAGGTGTGGAGGACTCCCTGGTCCTGAATGGGGTAATTGTGCCCCTAAAGGACCAGGTGCGCTGCCTGGGAGTCATTTTGAACTCAGAGCTGTCCATGGAGGCGTAGGTCAATTCTGTGTCCAGGGCAGCTGTTTACCAGCTCCATCTGGTACGCAGGATGAGACCCTCCCTGCCCACAAACTGTCTCGCCAGAGTGGTGCATGCTTTGGTTACCTCTCACTTGGACTACTGCAATGCACTCTATGTGGGGCTACCTTTGAAGGTGATCCGGAAACTACAACTAATCCAGAATGTGGCAGCTAGACTGGTGACTGGGAGTGACCGCCGAGACCACGTAACACCGGTCTTGAAAGACCTACATTGGCTCCCAGTACACTTCCGAGCACAATTCAAAGTGTTGGTGCTGACCTTGAAAGCCCTCAACAACCTTGGCCCAATATACCTGAAGGAGCGTCTCCACCCCCATTGTTCTGCCCAGACACGGAGGTCCAGCTCCGAGGGCCTTCTGGTGGTTCCCTCCCTGCGAGATGTGAGGTTACAGGGAACCAGGCTGAGGGCCTTCTTGGTAATGGCACCCGCCCTGTGGAACGCCCTCCCACCAAATGTCAAAGACAACAACAACTACCAGACTTTTAGAAGACATCTGAAGGCAGCTCTCTTTAGGGAAGCTGTTAATGTTTAACAGACCACTGTATTATTATTTTTTAATATATATTTTTAGACCACTGTATTTTAATACTTTGTTGGGAGCCGCCCAAAGTGACTGGGGAAACCCAGCCAGATGGGCGGGGTATAAATAATAAATTCTATTCTATTCTATTCTATTCTATTCTATTCTATTCTATTCTATTCTATTCTATGATTCTATTATCAACAGTCTCTGTTTGCTCTTCTCCCAGCTGCTAGGGTGGTGGCCAGCCCATCCCAAGAGTTACCCGAAGGCGAGCGAGTCACCCTGACCTGCATGTCCACCTTGGGGCCTGGAGATGGGACCACCTACACGTGGTACAAGAATGCTAAGTGGCTGCAGGAGGGAGTGGAGAGCTCCCTGGTCTTCCCGGCGTTGGCCAGCGGTGACGCAGGAACATTCCACTGCGTTGCTCGGAACGAGAAAGCCAGCAGCACATCGCCAGCCATCACCCTGCGCGTCTTGTGTGAGTAGCCCATCCGACCCATCTCATAAAATGTGGCTGGAGCCATAGCGGTCTAGAGCAGGGGTAGGGGACCCAAGGGCCACATTACCCTATAGGGCCTGCACGTCAATGGTGGGCGGGGCTAGAGGCAAAGGTGGGTGGAGCAATGATGGGACACCTAGCTTTGTTCCAGGAAAGGGTCGTGGTTGATTCCTGCATTGCACGAAGCTGCCCAGGGTGGCTGGGGTGACCCAGCCAGATGGGAGGAGGATTAATAATAAATTATTATTAAATTGTTATTATTATAACAGATTGTTTTCCACTCCAAAGATGCCCCCAAGCAGCCTGTCCTGAGGTCCTTTCTGGAAACCCAAGGAGGATACCTTGGCGTCATCCAATGCACAGTTGACAGCGAACCAGCCTCCGAGATAACTCTGCGCAAGGGTGACACGCTCATCGGGTCCACCACCATTGCCCACTCCTCCGCTGACCCAAGAGTGAGCGTGATCCAGTCGTACAACACACTGAAGGTGACCATCAAGGGCGTGAGGCTGGAAGATGAAGGAAAGTACCTGTGTTCTGCTCAGAACCGCTACGGACAATCCACCGCCTCCATGGACTTCACAGCGGAAAGTAAGTCACAGAGATTTGATAAGCTATCGGTCCACTTGTCAAAAATGTCCCCCCCCCCAAATGGAGGTTACGCTTTATATTACATCCAGACCCTGATATTCTTTCCTTCCTACCTGCCGTCCTTAAGTGGCATGTTATGGCATGAGTTGAATAGGATCCAAAAGGCAGCAGTCTGATTGGTCCTAGAATAGGATTCAGAATGCAGCAGTCTGATTGGTCCACAGGAGCCACCCAATCCAGCTCCAGGTGGAAGTGAATCCGCAACCTGGTTGGCCTACAGGAGAATCCTGGAATTAGCCAATCACGTGGGGCCCATTGTGTAAATAATGTATATAAAGCAGATATTTGGGGGGAACTTTCATTCCTCACTACTATGAGCTGAATAAAGAGCATGAAATCCACACTTGACTCCAAGTATATTTCAATGCCCCTTGAGGGTCCCTTCTACGACTGATTGCTGCTGCTCCACCCAGGTATCTGTGTTAACATATCAAAATTACTATGCCCTTGCACAAAGAAAACATAGCATGAAAATAAAACTTCCCTTATCCTGTAAATGGCCTCCTTATTTACTTCTTGTATACTGTTCATTTTATATGTGATTATTACAATTTTTCCTAATTATGACTTTAAAAACTGCAAAGTCTCCTGTAGAAATTAATCGAAACAAGTCCAGGTGTATATTTTAGGGCACTGTTTGGTAAAGTATTCTCTGCATTTTCCCCATTCATTTTAAAAATCTTGTCTAGGTTGTCCCCTAATTGTCTCTGTCAATCTGGCCAATTCAGTATAATCTAATAATTTATCCTGCCATTCCTTTTTTGTTGGCACAAATTCTTTTTTCCCAATTTCTGTTGTTGTTAGTTATTTCTGTGGTTTATATACTGCCCTTTATCTAAAGATCTCAGGGTTGTGCCCAACATCAAGGACACAAGAACCACAACCACAGCTAAATGCAGGAATTGCAACTGACAACTGTCCCCGTTTTATTTCCCACCCAGCTGCAAGAATCACCATCTCCCCGTTCTCAGAGGTGCGTGAAGGTGAGGCGGTCCAGCTGTCCTGCGAGGTGAGCAGTGATAACACCACCTCAAGCAACTACACCTGGTACAAGGATGATCTCCCTCTCCCCGAGGCCCGTGGGGATTCCCTGGAGTTCCAGAAAGTGTCCAGAGGCGATTCGGGAAACTATCGCTGCCAAGTGGAGAACGAGAAAGCCAGCAAGAGCTCCACCGCTGCCACCCTGTCTGTGCTGTGTAAGAGTCGCTGCCTTTTGCAGTTTTGTTCAAGATCAGAGGTCAGCAAACTTTTTCAGCAGGGGTCCGCTATCCCTCAGACTTTGTGGGGGGCCAGACTATATTTTTTAAAAAATAATGAACAAATTTCTATGCCCAAGAAATTTCTATGCCCAACAAATAACCCAGAGATGCATTTTAAATAAAAGCACACATTCTAATCATGTAAAAACACCAGGCAGGCCCCACAAGTAACCCAGTCGTTTAGTCATGTCCGACTCTTTGTGACCCCATGGACCAGAGCACGCCAGGCACTCCTGTCTTCCACTGCCTCCCACAGTTTCGTCAAACTCATGCTGGTAGCTTCGAGAACACTGTCTCACTATCTTGTCCTCTGTCATCCCCTTCTCCTTGTGCCCTCCATCTTTCCCAACATCAGGGTCTTTTCCAGGGAGTCTTCGCTTCTCATGAGGTGGCCAAAGTCTTGGAGCCTCAACTTCAGGATCTGTCCTTCCAGTGAGCACTCAGGGCTGATTTCCTTCCGAATGAAGAGGTTGGATCTTCTTGCAGTCCATGGGACTCTCAAGAGTCTCCTCCAGCACCAGAATTCAAAAGCATCAATTTTTCGGCGATCAGCCTTCTTTATGGTCCAGCTCTCACTTCCATACATCACTACTGGGAAAACCATAGCTTTAACTATACGGACCTTTGTTGGCAAGATGATGCCTCTGCTTTTTAAGATGCTGTCTAGGTTTGTATTTGCTTTTCTCCCAAGAAGCAGGCGTCTTTTAATTTCGTGACTGCTGTCACCATCTGCAGTAATCAAATAACCTAGAGATGCATGTTAAATAAAAGGACACATTCTACTCATGTAAAAACATGCTGATTCCTGGACTATCTGCAGGTTGGATTTAGAAGGCGATTGGGCCGGATCCAGCCCCCAGGCCTTAGTTTGCCTACCCATGTTCAAGATGCTATCAAATTAGACTTCCGGAAATCTTTCCCCGCAAACACTCTCTCACACAAAAATCTCATATACATATAGCAAAAGTAGGCAAGGCGATTCCCTCCCGTCAGCCGGCTTCATGGCTGTAAATTAATCAGCTGCTCTCAGAACTATTTCATATGAGATAATCCAGGATATCACATCCACGTAGGAAAACAGCATGTCCTGCCCCACCTGTCTTTGGGCCACGGCTCTTGGATTTACAGACTAACAAAATGCAATGCTAGAAAAAGAGGCAACGTCATAAATGTTTGTAAAATTATGCGTGTCCTTGAGAAAGAGAAGAGAGGCAAGTTTTATAGTGCATATAAAATAATAATTATTATTATGTTATTTATTTATTAAATATGTATACCTCCTTCATCTGATGATCTCAGAGGAGTTCACAAGATAAAAATACAGGATAAAAGCACACAATAAATAGTTAAGACTAAACTAAACAATAACCCCACTCCCACTAACACATTTAAAAGGCCACAGAATATTCATCAGCCAAAGGCCTGGTTGAAGAGGAAAGTTTTCGCCTGGCACCTAAAGATGTATAATGAAGGCTGAAGGAGCGTCTCCACCTCCATCGTTCAGCCCGGACACTGAGGTCCAGCTCCAAGGTCCTTCTGGTGGTTCCCTCACTGCGAGAAGTGAGGTTGCAGGGAACCAGGCAGAGGGCCTTCTCGGTAGTGGCACCCGCCCTGTGGAACACCCTCCCACCAGATGTCAAAGAGAAGAACAACTACCAGACTTTTAGAAGACATCTGAAGGCAGCCCTGTTCAGGGAAGCTTTTAACGTTTAACAGACCACTGTATTTTAATACTTTGTTGGAAGCCGCCCCAGGTGGCTGAGGAGACCCAGCCAGATGAGTGGGGTATAAAGTATTAGTATTAGTATTAGGTGACAGATGAACCTCCCTGAGGTGATACTATAACCTTGAAAGATAGCCCTTGTGGGACCTCCCTCTGATCCTTGTTCCTCCCAGCCCAATGCCATCAAATTTCTCTTTCTTTCCCAACTCCTTATAGTTTCTTCTGAAGTTCCAGTCCTATAAAACATACTATTGGCCAAACACTCTCTGTTCAAAGTTATAGATTTTCATCCCATAAATTAAATGCTATTATCTGATCAGTTGTCAGGCAACTCAGTCGGAGCAAGAGATATAATTTCGCACTGGCACTGTTTCATTCGTTAAAAGCCTGGGTCTTATGCCCTTGCGTGTGTGTCCTCTGGTTCCAGACCCCCCTGGGAAGCCTCGAGCGTCAGTCTTTGCGGAGATGGAAAGAGGTCGGGTCGCCATCTTCCAGTGTTCAGTGGACAGCAACCCTCCAGCCCAACTGGTCCTGTATAAAGGGGGTGAAGTCGTGGCTTCCAGCAGCTCAGTGAACAGCGCAGCCTCCCAGAGGGTCAGCATCACGGCTGCTCCCAATGCCATGCGGGTGGAGATGAGAAACATCGAGCCACAGGACGAAGGCAGCTACAACATCACAGCCACCAACACCTACGGCTCTTCCTCCAGGCTGGTGTACTTCCGTGTGCAGAGTGAGTGCAGAGAGGCTGCGATTGTGGCGCCGATAATAGCCGTGTGTCTATTTCAATGTTGCCGCCATATTGCCAGGCGTGGAGAGTCCTCTCCTCCCTTCGGCAACTTCACAGACGAGAATTAACGAGCAGTTTATCATTTATAGTCCTTTTTATTCAGTCGTCTGGTTGCAAGCAAAAATCCACATCTCTCCACAAGGAGGGCAGTTGGCTACTCCAGATCCTCCCCCTTTCTGGCCCCCGCAACATCTGGGGCGCTAACAGGAAGTGTGGTGTAGTGGTTAAGAGCGGTGGACTCGTAATCTGGTGAACCAGGTTCGCTTCCCCGCTCCTCCACCTGCAGCTGCTGGGTGACCTTGGGCTAGTCACACTTCTCTGAAGTCTCTCAGCCCCACTCAACTCACAGAGTGTTTGTTGTGGGGGAGGAAGGGAAAGGAGATTGTTGGCCACTTTGAGACTCCTTAGGGTAGTGATAAAGCGGGATATCAAATCCAAACTCTTTTTCTTCTTCTACATACTTTGTTCTCTAATAAGGGCAGATCTCCTAGTTTGGGGAGAGGGAGGGTCCCCCACACCACTCAGTGTGATGTAGGAGAGCCAGTGTGGTGTAGTGGTTAAGAGCGGTGGACTCGTAATCTGGTGAACCAGGTTCGCTTCCCCACTCCTCCACCTGCAGCTGCTGGGTGACCTTGGGCCAGTCACACTTCTCTGAAGTCTCTCAGCCCCACTCACCTCACAGAGTGTTTGTTGTAGGGGAGGAAGGAATAGGAGAATGTTAGCCACTTTGAGATTCCTTAAAAAAGTAAAGGTAAAGGGACCACTGACCATTAGGTCCAGTTGTGGCCAACTCTGGGGTTGCACACTCATCTCGCTTTACTGGCCGAGGGAGCCGGTGTACAGCTTCCGGGTCATGTGGCCAGCATGACTAAGCCACTTCTGACGAACCAGAGCAGCGCACGGAAACGCCGTTTACCTTCCCGCCGGAGTGGTACCTGTTTATCTACTTGCACTTTGACGTGCTTTCAAACTGCTAGGTTGGCAGGAGCAGGGACCGAGCAATGGGAGCTCACTCTGTTGCGGGGATTCGAACCACTGACCTTCTGATCAGCCACATGACCCGGAAAGCTGTTTGTGGACAAACGCCAGCTCCCTCGGCCTGAAAGCAAGATGAGCGCCCGTAACCCCATAGTCACCTTTGACTGGACTTAAACGTCCAGGGGTCCTTTGTCTTTACCTATACAGTCATACCACATGTTACATTTGCTCCATGTTGTGTTTTTTCATGTTGCATCCCACGGCAACCTGGAAGTACCGGAAAGGGTTACTTCTGGGTTTCGCCAGTCGCACATGCACAGACGTGCAAGATGACATCATGCACATGTGCACAAGCGCCGAATCGCAACCCATGCGTGCACAGACGTGCCGCTGCGGGACGCGTTCCTTTCATGTTGCGAACGGGCCTCCAGAACAGATCCCGTTCACAACCAGAGGTACCACTGTATAGAAATATCTGCATGAATGAATAAATCCCCTGAGCATTCATTCTTTGCTGCATTTAAGCCTGTTACCTAGTTTCCTGGAATTCTAGACTTGTTCCATTGGAAGGGACCACAGGGGTCATCTAGTCCAACCCTCTGCAATGTTGGAATCTTTGGCCCAACCTTGTCCTCGAACCCGTGACCCTGTGATTAAGAGCCCCATGCCTGACTTTCTTCCCCAATCCAGCTGCAAGAGTTCTGGCTTTGCCATCCCCCGAGTTGCTGGAAGGAGAGGCGCTCACCCTGAGCTGTGACGTGATGGGGTCTGCTCCCAAGGAGTCCACCTTCTCCTGGTACAAAAACAGCAAGCGCCTCCAAGAGAGCGATGCCAGCACACTCACCTTCAAGGCCATCACCAGCAGCGACGCTGGATCCTACCATTGCAAAGCCCACATGCTGGATGAGGCCAGCACCAGCATCTCTCTAGCCATCAGCATAACTGTCTTTTGTAAGTGGCGGTGTTTTTCCGGTTGCATCCCTAACCTGGATTAGACTCCCTTCAGTCAGCTTGGGGTGGGCGATAGCCAGACGTTAAGCATGCAATGAGGAAATGCCACATCCTTCCCAATCCCAATGGACAGCTTCATTAACATTAACATTAACAAAAATGAGGTCCAGTGCCGAGGGCCTTCTGGTGGTTCCCTCCCTGCGAGAAGCCAATTTACAGGGAACCAGGCAGAGGGCCTTCTCGGTGGTGGCACCCGCCCTGTGGAACGCCCTCCCACCAGATGTCAAGGAAAGAAACAACTATCTGACTTTTAGAAGACATCTGAAGGCAGCCCTCTTTAGGGAAGCTTTTAATGTCTGATGCATTACTGTATTTTAATATTGTGTTGGAAGTTGCCCAGAGTGGCTGGGGAAACCCAGCCCGATGGGCGGGGTATAAATAAATTATTATTATTATTATTATTATTATTATTAAATAACATGTGACCTGGAAATCTGGAAATCTGGAAAATTGGATCCCCTCCAAAGTGATGCCAATGTTTTGTGCTCATTTTGTGCTGTTTTGTGCCACGAACCCTGCATTTCATGCCACCCCCTGAAACAGAGTAATTCATACTCAGACCAGGGGCCGTAGGTACCCCCCACAAAACCCAACACCGTCCAATTCACTACAAACCAGTGCCAAACTTTTGCAAGAGTTTTAATAAAAATAAAAATAATTGTATTATTTATAACACCACCACCACATCCGGCTGGGTTTCCCCAGCCACTCTGGGCAGCTTACAGAATATATAAAACACAATAAAGCATTTTTGTGCCACAGACCCTACGTTTTGTGCCACCCCTCAAATGGAGTAACTGATACTCAAACCAGAGGCCATAGGTATCCCCGCTAAAACCCAACCCTGGAGGGTGGGGATTCACAACACACAACAGCCCAAAATGAGCCCAAAACATTGGCATCGGTTTGGAGTGGATCCAAAATTCCTGGGTCACGCGTTAATGAAGCTCCAAGGGACCTCCAAGCCATTTCAAACTGGATTCCTCCATGGCACTGCCTACAGGTAATCAAAAATCCGGTTTTGTGGCTCCCTGAGAGTTTATAGACAAAATCTTTTCATCATCTATGGCCTTTAAAAGGGAAGACGTGAGGGTATTTTCTCCCCCTCCCCCTTTACTATTATTATATTAAGTATTTTGTGTTTTATGTTGCAAACCTCCCTGTGGTCTCTTGCGGAAGGGCAGTTTTATAAATACAGTAAAGGATAACGTAATAATCATTTGCCTGTCCTGAGTCAACAATCAGCTGGAAAGGAGGTAGTCCCCACCATTGACCCTAAAGCTGGCGTCTCTATCCTGCCTGCACAGATCCGCCTCGGAAACCTCAGGTGACCTCCTTCCTTCAGACACAGGGCAGGCAAGTGGCCGTCATTCACTGCAGCACCCAGAGTGAGCCCCAGTCCCAGCTGGCCATCTACAAGGGCGCTGAGCTCCTGGCCTCCACCATCAACTCTGGCAAGGTGGCACCCAACCAGCGGGTCAGCGTATCAGCCTCGTACAACAGCTTGAGAGTGGAGATCTCCAACGTGGTGATGGAGGACGAAGGAGAGTACTTCTGCTTTGCTGGCAATGTGCATGGCAACGCCAGCTCCTCAGTGACGTTCATCGCAGAGAGTGAGTAGGAGAAGGGGTGTGATTGTGTGAAGGGTGGCTCAGCTGGTAGAGCATGAGACTCTTTATCTCAGTGTTAGGGATGTTCCTCCCCAGAGCGACAGCGAGGACTCCAGAGAGGAAAGAGGGCAGACTGGGGGGAGTAGAGACTTGATTCCTTCCCACATTGAGAATGATGTAAGCCCCTCTCGCTCTGGAATGCAAGCTGTTGAAGCCGGCTGCAGGGCATCAGCCACTGTTAGATTTGGCTCAAGAGGAGGAGGGGCTGGCTGCACCTGAGTCTACTCAGAGCAGGAGGAAGAGCCGGGTACTAGGGCAACATTGGCCCAGCAGGAGGTGGGGAAAAAGGTGGAGGATATCCTGCTGGCGCAGACAGCGTCATCCAGTGGGACCAACTGATTCATCCAGTGGAGCTCAGATTGCAGCTACTGTGTAATTACTAAATAAATCTAAGAGTAATTAGCCTGCCAAGGGACACGGGTGGTGCTGTGGGTTAAACCACAGAACCTAGGACTTGCCGATCAGAAGGTCAGCGGTTCAAATCCCCGTGATGGGGTGAGCTCCCGTTGCTCGGTCCCTGCTCCTGCCCACCTAGCAGTTTGAAAGCACAAAGTGCAAGTAGATAAATAGGTACCACTCCGGCGGGAAGGTAAACGGCGTTTCTGTGCGCTGCTCTCGTTCGCCAGAAGCAGCTTAGTCATGCTGGCCACATGACCCGGAAGCTGTACGCCGGCTTCCTCGGCCTATAGAGCCAGATGAGCTCCGCAACCCCAGAGTCGGCCACGACTGGGCCTAATGGTCAGGGGTCCCTTTACTTTTAATTAACCTGCCAGCTTGCCGTGTCTTGTATGAGAGAGACATTGTAAATCCTGACACTCAAGGTCATGGGTGTTTGAGCCCCAGGTTGGCCAAAGAGATTCCTGCATTGCAGAGCAGCCCTCCTTTTTCAGATCTGCCCATTAACAGAGCTCTGTTTTCCTGCCTTCCATGGTCGGTCTTCTTAGCTGCAAAAATCTGGATTTCTCCTCCGGATGTTCTCGAAGGGAATGCAGTGAACCTCACCTGTGCAGCTGACAGCAATACAGCTGGCGATCCGCACTACACCTGGTATAAAAACAACAGGTGGTACGCTGAAGGCGCATCGAATATGCTGTCACTTCCCCACGCTACTGTGGCTGATGCTGGTTCCTACTACTGCACAGTGAAGAACCAGGAGAGGGTTCGGAACTCCTCCTTGGGCACTCTGAACGTCCTCTGTAAGTCCCTGAATTTACAAGCTGTTGTTGCCCAGTCCCTGTGGTGGTGGGTGCCCATAGAGCAGAAGGAAGGGAGGCCACCTGTAGGTGGCGCAAGAGACAGCGGCAGGCAGAGTCAGCCAAGCGTAACTTTCTTCTCCTACCTGTTGAGTTCTACAAAGGCAGCACTGAGACTATGAGCTGTGCATAAATTCTATGGAATAAATAAATAAGGATCAGGAGAACTGAGGCCTGCTGCAATAATAATAATAATAATAATAATAATAATAATAATAATAATAATAATTTATTATTTGTACCCCGCCCATCTGGCTGGGTTTCCCCAGCCACTCTGGGCGGCTTCCACAGAAACAAAAAATACACTAAAATCACACATTAAAAACTTCCCTGAACAGGGCTGCCTGCAAAAGACCCCTTAACGCTACCCCTGCCTCCCCTCACCAAAAATTCAAGTATGATGCTTCTAATTTGCATAATTTCCAAGCAGTCGAAATCTTGCAAGTTAACTGTGCATAAGATGCAATCACACTATACTGCATTTTGATGCATCCCCCCAAAAAACTTGCTTAGATCAAAACTGAAAAAAAGAATGACTTGGCTACATTTTAAACCCAGAATGTATACGCACATCTTTTTGTTACTGCTGCATAACTCAGTCCCCTGATTCTGCTGATTTCGCTCCTCTTTCCCCCTACTGGAAGATCCTCCCAGGAACGCTTGGGTGAAGTCTTTCCTGGAGACCCAGAAAGGGATGCTGGCCATCATTGTGTGCTCTGTCGAAAGCAACCCCGGGTCTGTACTCTCCCTCCTCCGAGGCAGCGAAGTTCTCGCATCCAGCTCTTTCCAAGCCAGCCGGGCGCCAAACCATAGGCTGAGTGCCGCTGCCTCTCCAAACTCCTTGAGACTCGAGATCAAAGATGTCAGCCTGGACGACGAAGGAATGTACGAGTGCCTGGCTAGCAATGGCATTGGCAAGACCAGCACCTCCTTAGACTTCACAGTGGCGAGTGAGTGAAGACAGCTGGCGCTTGGGGAAGGGTTGTAGCTCAGTGGCAGAAGGTCCCAGAAAGTCAATCCCCAACAGCTCCTCTAGGTCAGTGTTTCCCAACCTTGGGCCTCCAGCTGTTTTCGAACTACAATTCCCATCATCCCTGACCACTGGTCTTGCTAGCTGAGGATTATGGGAGTTGTAGTCCAAAAACAGCTGGAAGCCCAAGGTTGGGAAATGCTGCTCTAGGTAACTGGGGAAGTAGGTCAGACCCAAGAGAGCCCATCTAGTCTAGCATTTTGTTATCAGTGGCCGGCCAGGTGTCCCAATGGAAAGCCCCCAAGCATTCCCTGAGTGCAGCATCTTTCTCCCCACTTGCGATTCTCCAGCAAGTGGTCTTCACAGGTGTATTCAATACGGGTGGGAGAGCACAGCCATGTTAAGATTCCTGCTCTGTGTTTGCAGTCATGAGATTGTTGTCTATCGCATGACGGTGTATGTTTTCATTCCACAGGGTGGGAAGTGACGGAGAAAGGATGTTTTGGTATTACTTTGTTCCATGAAGTGAGACTATTGTCCTTTGTTCTTTCTCTCTTTGCTGTCTGATGAGAAAGAGGAAGGAGCGAAGGTAGAATGCTCCGAGTGTAATATATGTAAATAAACGTAGATTAGCCACAATGCTGTGCTACTGAGGTCTGTTACGCAAACTGCAAATACTCTGCGGATCCCTAAGTGTGCTGATGCTTCTTGGTATCAGACGCTGTGATGTTCAGTCTGAAGAAAGCTTTCGAAGCTCCCGAACGATCAACCAGGAGGGAGAGAACATGCCAGCCAGGCATGTGTCTCTGCCAGGGTCCTACACGAGAGTAGGACGCTCCTAACAAACCACTGTGGCTAGTGGCCATCAGTAGACTCGGCCCCCATTCATTTTGTCTAATCCTCTTTGAGAGCCATTGAAGTTGGCGGCCATCACTACATTCCATGGCTGCTAATTTCGTTGTTTACTTTTGCACCATGTCAAGGAATGCTTCCAAACAATACAGGCACATTATATTTTTGTTTCCCATGTCAATGCACATTAAACAATGATACTTGGCACAGGCCGGGGAAGCTGATGATTCCCTGTTGGTGCTGGTGGCTTCAATCCATTTCAGCTTCAATCTTCTCCATCTTGCAGCTACGAGGGTTGTGATTAAGCCAGTCTCAGAGGTGCGTGAAGGGGATCGGGTCTCTCTCGTCTGTGAAGACAGAAGCTCCCCATCAACAGCTGTCTACACCTGGTACAAGAATTCCAGGTGGCTGTCTGAGGGCTCGGCCCCCTCCCTCATCTTCCAGGCGGTGGCAACCAGCGACGTGGGCTCCTACTCCTGCCAAGTTCAGAACAAGAGGGGGACCAGGAAGTCTCCACCTGCCGCCCTGAGGGTGCTCTGTGAGTACAGCAAGAATTCCCTTTTGGAATGGGTGTGTGCGTGGACTTATGAAACATTCCTTAAACCATGGGGCTGGTCTTGCAATCTGCACACTGGAGCCTGTTAAAATGACCCATTTTGTCCGGGGAAAAGTGAGTCGCTATGCACAGTGCTGATTGGCTAGCACCTGTGCCGTCATGAGTCTACTTTCCTTCTCCTCCTCCACACCTCCCAAACTCCCAGGGTAGTTTTTCAACTTATAAAATGTTGAGTGGAGCAGGAGACGGGAGGAACTTTATAGGAATGGACACATAGGGCTCATCAACTGGGAAAGGGGGATTCTTCTACTGTGAAAAATCTTGAAAACGTTTCAAAAAGGAAAGAAGAAAGAATGACTTGTGCCTTAAATATGGAGGCAGAAGCCAAAGTGACAACTAACTCAGCATTCTTATTGCTAATCTCTGCACTTGCTGATTACAATCTGAAGGGGAGGGAATCTGGGCTCTCTCCCCATGGGGAAAAAACACTTGATTGTGACTTCCATTTTGGAAATAAGATTGTGTGCATCCTGAGAGACATTTTGAAGACTTGGTGATGGAAGTGCCTGTCAGCCTATTTCCCTCCTTCCTTAGGTTCAGTTCAGTCTGTTTCTGCAACCATTTGGGTTAGTTTTCATACATTTCTACTGATACGGTACACATATTTAGCACCCAATTTTATCTAACGTATGCCTTATTGCAAGCCATTTCTCCTAATCTGATCCATTTTTATGAACACTTTCCCTTAATATACAGTACAAATCTAAAATGCTGCCTGCATTTCATGTCTCATAGTGAAGTGCAAATTGGAGGGGGGTCACATCAAAAAAATGCAAAACAAATTTCTCTCCCATCTTCAGTGAGGACTAGAAACTTTTTCCACAAAGCATTCTGAGGTCTGCAGTACGTACCCTCTACTTAGAATTATAGACTCATCTAAGAAGTGGAAGAGACCCAAAGGGTGGCGCTGTGGTCTACACCACTGAGCCTTTGGGGCTTCCCTATCGGAAGGTTGGCAGTTCAAATCGAATTCTTCTTTTGTTCTTCAAAAGTTTTCAAGATTTTTCACTGTAACAGAATCCCAGCTTCTGCCAACCTAGCAGTTCGAAAGCATGCCAGTGCAAGTAGATAAATAGGTACCGCTGCAGCAGGAAGGTAAACGGCATTTCTGTGCGCTCTGGTTTCCGTCACGGTGTTCCATTGCACCAGAAGCGATTTAGTCCTGCTGGCCACATGACCCGGAAAGCTGTCTGTGGACAAAGGCTGGCTCCCTCAGCCTGAAAGCGGGATGAACATCTCACCCCAAAGTCGCCTTTGACTGGACCTAACCATCCAGGAGTCCTTTATTATTATTTATTGAATTTATATACTGCCCTATACTCTGGGGTCTCACAGAATAAAATCAAGATATAAAAGCACAAAATATCGAATAAAAATTAAAACAACGACCCAATAGCCCCCCCCCCAAAAACCACATTTTAAAATGGCGTAGTATGTAAGAGCGGTAGACTCTTTGGATCATTGGATTGCAGAGATAGAAGGGGTCCCCAAGGGTGATCTTGTCCAACCCCCTGCAATGCAGGAACCACAGCTAAAGAATCCCTGGCGGGTGACCATTAAGCCTCTGTTCCAAAAGCTTCAGTGAAGTGTGGGAATGTTCAGGGATGCAGGAGAGGATATATTGTTTGATTTTAGCCTTTCCAACTTGTGTTAACAAGTTCACAATTTAGCAGAGTAACATTCCCCCTTTTTAAGCTCACAGCAGATGTGTTTGCTCAGGCTGGCTAAAGCCTCTATAATAACTGTTCTGGTATTTTCCCCTTATTCCCTCATAAAAGATAAGACACAACACAGTCTTCTATAAAAGTATTAAAAGAGTTTACTCACATTCTGTTCACAATCGGATCCCAGAAGGCAGACTTAGCTTAGAAAAGTCACATACACCTGGAAACTATCTTATAAGGAGACAGTCCCTCTGTCCTCTTTCCTGGGTGGCCAGTGTGGTGTAGTGGTTAAGAGCGGTAGACTCGTAATCTGGTGAACTGGGTTCGATTCCCCGCTCCTCCTCATGCAGCTGCTGGGTGACCTTGGGCCAGTCACACTTCTCTGAGGTTTCTCAGCCTCACTCACCTCACAGAGTGTTTGTTGTGGGGGAGGAAGGGAAAGGAGATTGTTAGCCGCTTTGAGACTCCTTCGGGTAGTGATAAAGCGGGATATAAAATCCAAACTCTTCTTCTTCCTCTCTTGGCTGGAGGCCAAGAGAGCATCTTTGGTTAAGCAGATGTTGCTTCTTCGATGCATGTAGCCAAAGGAGAGAGATGGCTGCCCTGCCCTGTGCTTTTGTCGTTACCTGCACAGGTGAGGCCATGCCCACCTCTAGTCACATGCAGAGGAAGTCTGTCCCAGCCCAGAAGGAAACAGGAAGTTTACCTGCTGGCTGGACAAACATTCCTCCCCATGTGTAAACAAGTTCATTCTAGGAATGTTGTACTTAACTGTTCTTGTGTTTCACATCCCACACATATGGAAAGAGGCGGTCTTTGAGGTATTGTGACCCTGAGCCGTTTACCTTTGCCTTTACATTAGCTAGTCCAGCCCCCTTGCAATGCAAGAATGCAGGTATCCACGGTTTAAATCCGGGCCTTGCTGCCAGGCCACCACCTCTTGTGCAGAAACATCTTGACATGTGACATCATCTCTCCCCCACAGATGCTCCAAAGAAGCCATCCCTGACTTCCTTCCTGGAGACTCAGTCCGGGAGCCAGGCCATCATCGAGTGTACAGTTGAGAGTCACCCGCCGTCCGATGTCACCCTGTACAGGGAGGGCGTGATCTTGGCTTCCAGCAGGAGGTCTGGGACTCTCCCTACCCAGCGGCTCATTGTCCACTCAGCCCACAACGCCCTGAAAGTTGAGATCAAAGATCTCCGCCTCGAAGACAATGGGCAGTACCGATGCTCAGCTAAGAACACCTATGGGGAGACCACCGCTTCCATGCGCTTCAATGTGGAGAGTGAGTGATTCTCTTCTACCCTCTCCCCTTTCCATGTGGGGGAATGACCCTTTTATGAGTGTCCAGCAAAAGCACGGCTGCCAACATGCGTGCCACTTTTGGCCCCAGAATCATAGAATCATAGAATCATAGAGTTGGAAGAGACCACAAGGGCCATCGAGTCCAACCCCCTGCCAAGCAGGAAACACCATCAGAGCACTCCTGACATATGGTTGTCAAGCCTCTGCTTAAAGACCTCCAAAGAAGGAGACTCCACCACACTCCTTGGCAGCAAATTCCACTGTCGAACAGCTCTTACTGTCAGGAAGTTCTTCCTAATGTTTAGGTGGAATCTTCTTTCTTGTAGTTTGGATCCATTGCTCCATGTCTGCTTCTCTGGAGCAGCAGAAAACAACCTTTCTCCCTCCTCTATGTGACATCCTTTTATATATTTGAACATGGCTATCATATCACCCCTTAACCTCCAAGGGGGCAGAACAGGATAGGGCAGGGGTGGAACAGGCTTACGCACGATGGCTGATGCACCAAATGCCACAAAACATCATCATCATCATCATAATTTTTTATTTATACCCTGCCCTTCCCGGTTCAAAAACCGGGCTCAGGGCAGCTAACAACAAATTTAAAACACTTTAAAACAATTATAAAAGCAGCATAAAATACAGTATAAAAACATGAATAACAATAAAATTCAAAAATCAAAAATCAATTTAAGGGAAATAAGCTTTAGATCATCCCCAGGGCTAGCTGGCTGAATTGGTCCTACTTGGGCCAGCGAGGAGGCCAAGGGAGAATTAGCTGTGGGGTCCCAGAGCGGGTGATCTTCATAAAAGCGGAGGGGGTGGGAAGAGAAGGGAAATAAAAGATCAGGCTGAATTCAAATTAAAGGCCAGGAGGAATAGCTCTTTCTTACAGGCCCAACTGAAGGAGGTTAAATCCTGCAGGGCCCTGGTCTCATGGGACAGAGCATTCCACCAGGTTGGAGCCATCACTGAGAAGGCCCTGGCCCTGGTGGAGGATAGTCTGACTTCCTTAGGGCCCAGGACCTCTAAACTATGGTTATTCATGGACCTGAAGGTCCTCTGCGGGGCAGACCAGGAGAGTCAGTCCCATAAATACAAGGGCTCTAAGCCACAAAGGGCTTTTAACCCACATGCAAAACAGAATTGCCTGTACATCCTTACACATGCAAGCCCCTGTGGCGATTTATTTGTTTCATAAAATCTTATATGTTGCTTGACTATTAAAACAAAACAAAAGGAGTTTACAAAGAGAATGAAACAATGAAAAGATCAGTAAAGATAGCTCATTAAAAGGTTCAGAAGAAAAAATAATGAACTGATAAACGGATTAAAACTCACATAAACATTTTACATGTCTGAATAGGTTTGTCTGCACAAAAATGTTGTTAGCAGGCGCCAGAAAAAGTACGCCTGCCTGATTTCAATTGGCTGGGAGTTCCAAAGTGTTAATGCTTACACATGAAAAAAATTGAGTTCTTACAAATGCAAAACATGTGGCACCTGCAACAGGACCAGTCCCACTGATCAAAGTGGGTGTTTATGGGGAAAGGCAATCTCTTAGGTATACTGGTCCTAGGTACTTAAGGGCTTTAACCGGAACGCGGGTGGCGCTGTGGTCTAAACACTGAGCCTCTTGGACTTGCCATTCAGAAGGTTGGTGGTTCCAATCCCCACGATGGGGTGAGCTTCCGTCACTCTGTCCCAGCTCCTGCCAGCCTAGCAGGTCGAAAGCACACCAGTGCAAGTACATAAATAGATACCTTTGCGGTGGAAAGGTAAATGGCATTTCCGTGTGCTCTGGTTTCCATCACAGTGTCCCATTGCGCCAGAAGTGGTTTAGTCCTTCTGGCCACATGACCTGGAAAGCTTTCTGTGGACAAACGCCAGCTCCCTCGGCCTGAAAGTAAGATGAGCGCCGCAACCCCATAGTCGCCTTTGACTGGACTTAACCGTCCAGGGGCCCTTTACCTTTTTACCTTTTTCTTAAGGGCTTTAGATACTAATAGCAACACTTTGAACTTGGCCCAGTAGCAGATGGGCAGCCAACACAGACCTCTGAGCACAGCTGTTCTGTGATGACAAAACCCCCCTCCTGTCAGCAATGGTGCTACAGCCTCCTACACTAAGGTTACAAGATTTTTTTCAAAGAATCCGGGAACACTTTTTTTTTGAGAGAGAGAGAGAGAGAGAGAGAGAGAGAAGTTATTTTTAAAAAGATTATTATTTTTCAAAAAGAAGAAGTAATATCTTCTATTCTGTGGTCTCCTCTGTTGCATGGCCTTCCTCTGGGCCCCATCCTGCTCTCTCGGAGCGCTAGCCGCTGTGGAGTAGGCTCAGGTCGGGCCTGGGCTCGGCCACATGTCTGTGCTCTCTTACCTCTCCTCCTCAGCGGCGGCAGTGGCGTGGCAAGGTCAGGGCTCCCCTCTTTTTTCTCCTTCCTCTTTCTCTCTCTTCCTTCTCCTTCTCTTCCTTCTCCCTGCATCGGCTCTGGAGTTTTCCTGGCCCCGGAGAGCCACTGGGCAGTTGGCCGGGTGCTCTCACTCCCGGCTCAATTTGGGTCAAGGGGAGGTCAGCGGTTCCCCCAGTTGACACACCGGGCGTCCCCGGTTCCCCCTTGGCAGTGGTGGTGGCAGAGACAGTCTCAGCAGCCTGGAGCCAGCCTGGTAGCGCAGTTGGCTCTGGCTGGCTTCAGGAGCTGTTCACTGCCGTTGCACCTGCCATTTTGCCTGGCCGGAAATCCCCATATGATGTGTCTTGTGCCGTTGAACCCATCACGCCACATTCATTCCCTACTAATAAATCTATAACGCTTAAAATATAAATCCGGGGACATTAAATGAAATCCAGGGACGGATTTGTGAATCCAGGGACTGTCCCCGGGAAACGGGGACATCTGGTAACCATATCCTACACCCATTGCAGCTTCCGGATAAGGCACGAGCGAAGCCTCGCATAGAGTGCATTGCAGTAATCCAGCCCTGCAGTAACCAATGCAGGAAGCAGAGGAGGACAAATTATTTTGGTTTCTGTCTTGCTCTTTTCCCTACTCAGATGCCAGGGTCACGATTGAGCCCTCTCCCGATGTCCAGGAAGGAGCAATGGCCAACATGACCTGTGTGGTTGTCAGCCAGGCGACGGGGGAAATGAACTATACGTGGTACAAGAACAGCAAGTGGCTCCAGGGTGGTCCAGAGCGGTCCCTCCTCCTGGTGGGCGTGGCCAGGGACGATGCTGGCTCGTACCACTGCCAGGCAGAGGGGAGGACAGGAACTGTGACCTCTGCCTTGGTCATCTTGAACGTGCTTTGTAAGTTTGTGGGTCTTTGTGAGATCTGTGAAGGCTGCTACAGGGCCAGCTCAGCCCACTGGGCTGTCCCACCTCCGATTCATAGAATTGTACCATTAGAAGGGCACCCAGGGTCATCTAGTCAAACCCCCTGCAGTGCAGGAATCTCAGCTCAAGCATCCAGGACAGATGGCCATCCAACCTCTGCTTAAAAACCTCCAAGGAAGGAGAGGCCACCACCTCCCGAGGGAGCCTGTTTCAGCCCGTCGAGCAGCTCTTACTGTCAGAAGGTTCTTCCTGACATTTAGTCAGAATCTCCTTTCTTGTAACTTGAAGCCATGGGTTCGAGTTCTACCCTTCAGAGCAGGAGATAACAAGCTTGCTCCATCTTCCATGTGACAGAGGTTGAAAACCTCTGCCCTAGGGGGTTCCCCCAGCTGCAGCCTCCTAGCACTCCTCTGCATCCAGCTGGTCCTTGACACCTCCAGATTAGATGGACTATCTTTTTTTCCTATGTTCTTACCCATTCAGATGCACCCAGCACCCCTGCCATCAGCGCCTACCTGGACAACCAAAACGGGAAGGTGGGCATCATCGACTGCAAGGTGGACAGCCACCCCCGCTCCCTGCTGGCCTTGTACAAAGGAGATCGGCTCCTGGCTGACACCAACCACTCCCATGCCATAGCCGGTCTGCGCTTCGCCATGTTCCCCTCCTACAACAGCCTGAGAGTGGAGATCCAAGACGTCACGCCAGAGGATTCGGGGCATTATGTCTGCCAGGCCAGCAACCCGTTAGGAAAGACCGCCAGCGCCGTTGGCTTCAGCGCAGAGAGTGAGCAGAACTCGTGCAGGGGGGGGGCGGGGGACAGAAATGGAGAAAGAAGTAGGGCTTTCAGAGGAGTGGGGAGTCCATGTGTTTTCTAAAAACCAGTACACTATGGGATGGCCACCACCATCCCATGGGCTAAATCTGACCCGCAAGGCTGTTTCCCCCCCAAACCACACCCACCTGCCCCACACCAGGCTGCCAGGAGCTCAGCCTACACTCGAGTAGGATCCTGGCAGAGACACTTGCCCGACTGGCATGTTCTCTCCCTCCTGGTCGATCGTTTGGGAGCTTCAAAAGCTTTCTTCAGCCCGATAATCACAGCGGCCGATGCCAACAGACATCGGCACACTTAGGGATCCGCAGATTTTGCGCATTTCGCATGACAGACCTCAGCATTTTGGCTAATCTACTTTTATTTACATATAAACACACACAGAGCACTGCAACTTGGCTCCCTCTCTCTCCAGCATCAGACAGCAAAGAGAAAAAGAACAAAGGACAATAGTCCCACTTCACGGAACACAGTAACACAAACATCCTGTCTCCGTCACTTCCCACTCTGTGGAGTCAAAACATATACTGTCATGTGATAGACAACAATCCCATGACTGCAATCACAGAGCAGGAATTCTAACACAGACATCGTAAGTGACGTCAGATGCGCAGCACATAAAGATGAGGTTGGATCAGCTGTGTGACTGAGTTTCTCAAATGCACAGTTGAGTCTTCCAGACAGGAGACATGAAGTCACTGCCCATCAGCTGACAAACTGGGGGGGACTCAATTCTGCAGCTTATTCCTGCAGAAAGCAGGGCTGAAGTCACTACCCACCCATCAGCTGGACCTCTGTTCATAATCCCCAATCCAAGAGGTCCTGTATGATAGAATCATAGAGATGGAAGGGACCCCAAGAGCCATCTAGTCCAACCCCTTGCCTTGGACCTCAGCTAAAGATGGCCATCCAACCTCTGCTTAAAAACCTCCAGTGGAGGAGAGCCCACAACCTCCTGAGGGAATCTGTTCCACTGTAAAGTGGCTTGCAGTGGACTTCCTCAATCAATACACCACTGTGATGCTAGAGACAGTTTTACTTGGTCAGAACAACAGCGGCCGGTGGAGAACCCGCAAAAGTGGAGTCTGCAGTCCTGTAAATCACACAGGTTTATATAGAGGCATTCCCACTTTACACATGGCTAGAAATTAACCAACATTCTCAGAGGAAAAGCATGCCTGCGTTAGGGAAGCTTTTAATGTTTGATGCATTACTGTATTTTAATATTTTGTTGGAAGCTACCCAGAGTGGCTGGGGAAGCCCAGCCAGATGGGCAGGGTATAAATAATAAATTATTATTATTATTATTATTATCATCATCATCATCATCAGAGCTGGATGCCTGATTCAGTTAGAAGGACAGGGCACCTCCTTTCAATTGTTTTATGTTGCAAACCGCCCTGTGACCTTGGGTTGAAAGGCGATATATAAATTTAATAAACAATAATATCAGGCTAGCTCAAGACTGGGCTTTTTCCTGCACAAGCCTTCTTGACGCACTCCTAATATGGTTTGAGGAAGCAGGTTCTCCAAACAATATCCTTTTCTGCCCTTCCTTTCACTGCTCTTACATCTTAGGCTAGAAATATGTTTATTGATAAGCCTCCCACCATGGGTGGTTCTCAGTGTCCTCTTCTGAGCTATTTTCTCACACACACTCCAATCTCTGTTTGCCTGCAGCACTCTCAGACCTCCACTTGTTCAAGATCCTGGCTGGGGTATTCTTTGCCTTGACTTGTGCAGCTCTGCTTTGTGGCTTGGCTCTTGGGATGCAAACATATTGGACCCGGTAAGGCTGGCTGGTGTTCGCTTCCATCGATCATTAACCCAACGGATTCGGGAAGAGGAAGCCTGTCTTCTGGTTGGTCTCTGAGATAACAGGATGCTGGACTTGACTGACCACTGGCCTGACCTAGCAGGGCTATTTATTCCTATGTTCTTATTATTTCTAGGAACTTTTTTGGGGGGAGGAGCCCATAGGATTTGCTGCCACAAGTTGTAGTGATGGCCACCAACTTAGTGCCCTCCAACATTTCTCCAATGAGAATAGGGACGTCCTTTTCTATAATTTAGGACACAGGTGGTGCTGAGGTCTAAACCACAGAGCCTAGGAGTGGGGTGAGCTCCCGTTGCTCGGTCCCAGCTCCTGCCAACCTAGCAGTTTGAAAGCACGTCAAAGTGCAAGTAGATAAATAGGTACTGCTCCAGTGGGAAGGTAAATGGCGTTTCCATGCGCTGCTCTGGTTCGCCAGAAGCAGCTTAGTCATGCTGGCCACATGACCCGGAAGCTGTCTGCGGACAAATGCCATCTCCCTCGGCCAGTAAAGCGAGATGAGCACTGCAACCCCAGAGTCATTCGCAACTGGACCTAATGGTCAGGGGTCCCTTTACCTTTACCTATTCCATAATAATAAAATTTATTACTTATACCCCTGCCCAACCAACTAGGTTGCCCCAACCATTCTGGGTAACTTCCAACATACATAAAAACATAATAAAACATTAAACCACTTCCCTATACAGGGCTGCCTTCAGACGTCTTCTAAAGGTTGTATAGTTATTTATCTCCTTGGCTTGGAGGGTCGCATAACTCCATACCCTCCAACATTTCTCTGTTGAAAATAGGGACGTGCTAAGGTGCTAAGGAAAAGCGGGGCATCCCGGGATCAAATCAGAAACTGGGATGGCTTTGTAAATCTGGGAGTGTCCCTGGAAAATAGGGACACTTGGAGGGTCTGCAACTTTTACAAGGATTAGAAGATAAAGCTAACAATCACTGCTAGTCACCATGATGGCCTGCTGCCTTCTGAATTTGCTACCACTGGCTGGGGAACGAGAGTGAAAGAGGGCTGTTGACGTCATATTGCTTCCCATTTGGGAAGGTTTCTGGTTGACTGACGTTGAGTAGATAAATACTACGCCAGCTGGCTGGGGCTGATAGGAGTTGCACTCCCAAAATATCTGGAGGGCATCAGGTTGGCCAAAGCTGTAATTAGAATCATAGAATTGTACAGTTGGAAGGGACCACAAGGGTCATCTAGTCCAACCCCCTGCAATGCAAGAATCTTTTGCCCGCATGGGGCTCGAAGCCACAACCCTGAGATTAAGAGTCCCGTGCTCTGCCAAATGAGCTATCCCAGATCCCTTATGTTTCCACTTGCATTAAACCAACATAAGTAGCGATAGCCACCCAGCTGGATGGCTTCTAAAGAGAGAAACTCGCAGAGGAGAAGTCTGTTGGCAGCCACGTTCTCCCTCCTCTGTCCGAGGCAGGAATGCTTCTTGCTGCCAGCTGCCAGGAGAAATCGAAAGTGGGGAGAGTTGCCACTGTTGCCGTCAGCTCCTGCTTGTGGGATTCCTCCTGTGGGCATCTGGCTGGCCTCAGAATGCTGGACATAGGGTTGATCCAGCAACCAGGCTCTTCTCAGATTCCCAAGTTTGCAGCGCAGCCACACCCAAAGAGACAGCTCCTCCAACCTCTTGTGTTATATTTTCCAGGATCAATGAAGAGTGCAAAAGGCGGAAGCAGCAGAAAAACAAGAAGGCGGAAGCAGCAGCAGGGGCAGAAGACAGAGACGAGACTGTCCAGGTTCATAGAATCATTGGATTGTTGGGGGAATGTTCAGGGATGCAGGAGAGGAGATATTGTCTGATTATATCCTTATCCACCTTGTGTTAACAAGTTCCACAATTTCAGCAGAGTAACATTCCCCTTATTTTAAACTTTGCAGCAGCTGTGTTTGCTCAGGCTCGCTAAAGCCTCTATAATAACTGTTCTGGTATTTTCCCCTTATTCCCTCATAAAAGATAAGACACAACACAGTCTTCTATAAAAGCATAAAAAGAGTTTACTCACTCACATTCTGTTCACAATCGGATCCCAGAAGGCAGACTTAGCTTAGAAAAGTAACATACACCTGGAAACTATCTCATAAGGAGACAGTCCCTTTGTCCTCTCTTGGCTGGAGGCCAAGAGAGCATCTTTGGCTAAGCAGATGTTGCTTCTTCGATGCATGTAGTCAAAAGGAGGGAGATGGCTGCCCTGCCCTGTGGTTTTGGCGTTACCTGCACAGGTGAGGCCACGCCCACCTCTAGTCACATGCAGAGGAAGTCTGTACCAGCCCAGAAGGAAACAGGAAGTTTACCTGCTGGCTGGACAAACATTCCTCCCCATGTGTAAACATGTTCACTCTAGGAATGTTGTACCAGACTGCTCTTGTGCTTCACATCCCACAACTGTAGAGATAGTAGGGGTCCCCAAGGGTGATTTTGTCCAACCCCCTGCAATGCAGGAACCACAGCTAAAGAATCCCTGGCGGGTGACCATTAAGCCTCTGTTCCAAAAGCTCCAGTGAAGGAGAGTCCACCACCTTACAAGGGAGTCCATTTCACAGTCAAGCAGTTCTTACTGTCAGTAAATTCTCCCTCATGTTTAGTAGGAATCTTCTTTCTTGTCATTTGAATCCATCCGTTCTGGTCCTGCCCTCTGGAGCAGCAGAAAACAAGCTTGCTCCCTCTTCCATGTGACAGCCCTTCAGATACTTGGAGATGGCATAATAATAATAATAATAATAATAATAATAATAATAATTTATTATACCCCGCCCATCTGGCTGGGCTTCCCCAGCCACTCTGGGCAGCTTCCAACAAAATATTAAAACTCCGTAATACATCAAACATGAAAAGCTTCCCTAAGCTGGGCTGCCTTCAGATGTCTTCTAAAAGTCAGATAGTTGTTTATCTCCTTGACATCTGATGGGAAGGTGTTCCACAGGGCGAGTGCCACCACCGAGAAGGCCCTCTGCCTGGTTCCCTGTAACTTGGCTTCTTGCAGCAAGGGAACCATCAGAAGGCCCTCAGCGCTGGACCTCCGTGTCCAGGCTGAACGATGGGGGTGGAGACGCTCCTTCAGGTATACTGGACCAAGGCCATTTAGGGCTTTAAAGGTCAGCACCAACACTTTGAATTGTGCTCGTACTGGGAGCCAATGTAGGTCTCTCAAGACGGGTGTTATGTGGTCTTGGCTGCCGCATTCTGGATTAGTTGTAGTTTCTGGGTCACCTTCAAAGGTATACGCATTGCAGTAGCCCAAGCGGGAGATAACCAGAGCACGCACCACTCTGGCAAGGCAGTCCGCAAGCGGATATCACCTCTCAGTCTTCTCTTCTCAGTCCAAACCTACCCAACTCCCTCAACTGTTCCTCATATTTCCAAAGCCCTTTATCATCTTGGCCACCCTCCTCTGCACACCTTCCAGAGAGTTTCAACTCTCTTTAAAGCTATTGTCTTGCCTCCATCCAAGCCCCTAGCACTAGCATTGGATAGGGACACAAACTCGGAACAGGCGATTACTTCTGCCTTAGAATGGGATCAGTTGCTCTGCAATGTCAGGGCTGCACGTGGCGCAAGTTTCCTTGAAGTCATGTGGAGGTGAGTCACTGGTGGGAACGACTGATTGATCGTGGGCAAGTGTAAGTAATGTGGTGGGTGGTGCAAGCCGAGATTGTTGAGGGAAGACTCTGCTCTGGTCTTCAGGAATCCCTGTGGGGCAGAAGGCGTTTCCTAATGCACGTCACCTTCAGTTCCTCACTTAGGCTACTGGGTCACATTGGGAGCTGGGAATCAACCTCAGGAGCCTTTTTGGATTGCTGAGGTTCCATATATCTGACTTGGTCACTTGGCTCTTTCCACAGCTGAGTGAGGAGAACCCAGGAACGCCTCCGGCCGGACGGTTCTGCCTCTCCTACAGGAAGCTGCGAGCAAAGACCGAAATTCCACCACAGGAAGAACCCTCTGAACAGAGCTGTACAAGCGCCTTGTGAGCAGTGGGAAGAGATCTGGTGGGAGTCACAGCAACCAGACGACCATGCCAGTTGTGGAGGACGAGGCGGAAAGGGTGGTCATCTAAAGGCTGTTGCTCTGGACGCTGAGTTGGAATCATAGAATTGTAGAGTTGGAAGGGACTCTGAGGGTCATCTAGTCCAGCCCCCTGCACTGAAGGAATCACAGCTAAAGAGGGACCCACAGCCTCATCATTTCAGGCACCCCATTTTTCACCAAACCACCATGAACCTTTTCACTCATTTAAAATTTCAGAATTGGTCTTGGATTTTGAACTTCATCAGATTTCATTTTTTTAATATATATATAAATTTTTATTAGTTTTTAACATACCATTTTCAAGAGTGATTAAACATACTTTTACATCTTCTTCAGTTTTTTTGACTTCCATCAGTCCTGTCTGAAAATTTTCCAATCTAATCTCTTAGTATGCATTTCTTACTTTCCCTATTACATTTAAAACTCATAACCAATATCTCTATCTTTTTCTACTTTGTAGCACTTCATATATTTCTCCTTACAAAACTTCTTGTAGTCCTACTAGCGTAATTTGTTGATTGCAGTTGCTCTTCAAATAATTCATATACTTCTTCCAATCTTCTGTAAATCTCTGGTCCCGCAGGTTTCGAATCCTTCCTGTCGTTTTGTCCAATTCTGCATAGTCCATTAATTTCATCTGCCATTCTTCTTTCGTCGGAATCATCAGATTTCATTTTTGATGTTTGAGTGGGCTGGGCAAAAAATGAAGGAGGGGGTGCAACCTTCCACTGTAAGCCTTTCTTTCCCTCCTGCGCAATCTATTCTGAGCAGGAGATCCTCTTCTGCTGACCTCCAAGTTGGGCAGAGATAGGAAGGGGCCACAGCTCAGTGGGAGACTGTCTGTGTTGGAAGCAGGTCTCAGGATCAATTCCTGGCAGCTCCAGGCAGGCTTGGGAGACGCTCTTCCCTGAAACCCTGGACAGCTGCTGCCGGTCAGTGTAAACAGTACTGAGCAAAATCAACCAATGGTCTGACTCAACATGAGGCAGCTTTCTATAAGGACCATGTCTTGAAAGACCTACACTGGCTCCAAGTACATTTCTGAGCACAATTCAAAGTGTTGGTGCTGACCTTTAAAGCCCTAAACAGCCTCAGTCCAGTATATCTGAAGGAGCGTCTCCACCCCCATCGTTTTACCCGGACACTGAGGTCCAGCACCGAGGGTCTTCTGGCAGTTCCCACACTATGAGAAGCCAAGTTACAGGGAACCAGGCAGAGGGCCTTCTCGGTAGTGGCACCCGCCCTGTGGAACACCTTCCCACCAGATGTCAAAGAGAAAAATAACTACCAAACTTTTAGAAGACATCTGAAGGCAGCCCTGTTTAGGGAAGCTTTTAATGTTTAATAGGTTATTGTATTTTAGTGTTCTGTTGGAAGCCGCCCAGAGTGGCTGGGGAAACCCAGCCAGATGGGCGGGGTGTAAATAATAAATTATTATTATTATTACCATGTGCATGTAGAACAGACTGGGTCGTGCCATCTGCCTTGTCAGCAAAACTTTAGCTAATCCCATGAGGTGCCAGCTTGCCAAATCCCGTACTTTTACTCCTCAGCCAATGACATCTGGGTCAAAACCAGTGTCCTCATCGCCTTCTTGCCATAAAAAGTCAACATCAGCGCTACACAGTTAACACCTTCCCCGCCAGAGTCATCTCGCCGCAGCTGTCTGTGCTATTAACACTGTGCTGTCTAATAAATAATGTCACCAGCAACACAGTTTCCAGCGCCCCAGCTTCTTCTCCAACTTTCTCTGAGACATGAGTGAGGAGCATGAGAAAATAAGAAGGGACTGCGGGATCAGGTCAAAGGCCCATCGAGTCCAGCATCCTCTCCTCACACTGGCCGATCAGGAGGCTGCGGGAATACTCACAAGTAAGACCTGAGCCTAAGAGCCCTCTCCCCTCTTGTGTTTCCCAGCATTGCTGCCTCCAACTGTAATAATAATAATAATAATAATAATAATAATAATAATAATTTTTATTTATAGCCCGCCCTCCCCAGCCAAAGCCAGGCTCCGAGCGGCTAACAACACTAAAAGTAACACAACATTCTAAAATCAATTCATTTTAAAATCAATTCAAAATCAAATCAATGGCAACCATTGGGCTAGAGTTCGGTGAGGATTGCCAAAGGAGGGGGTCCGACTGTGCCTTGGCCAAAGGCCTGGTGGAACAGCTCTGTCTTGCAGGCCCTGTGGAAAGATGTCAAGTCCCGCAGGGCCCTAGTCTCTTGTGATAGAGCGTTCCACCAGATCGGGGCCATGGCCGAAAAAGCCCTGGCTCTGGTTGAGGCCAGCCTAACCTCCCTGTGGCCTGGGACCACCAAGATGTTTTTGTTTAAAGACTGTAAGGTCCTCCGTGGGACATACCAGGAGAGGCGGTCCCGTAGGTACGAGGGTCCTAGGCCGTATAGGGCTTTAAAGGTTAAAACCAGCACCTTAAACCTGACCCTGTACTCCACCGGGAGCCAGTGCAGTTGGTATAGCACCAGGTGAATGTGATCCCGCGGCAAGGACCCCATAAGGAGTCTCGCCGCGGCATTCTGCACCCGCTGGAGTTTCTGGGTCAGTCTCAAGGGCAGCCCCACATAGAGTGAGTTAGAGAGTTAGAGAGACACAGTAGAGCCATTCTGGCTAGGGGCCATCCCAGCCCTCTCTGCTCCATGAATTTGTCCTCTTTCCATCCATTCTTGTCTCCCCTTCAGCAGAAAGGAACAGTTTTGGTTGAGGACAACCTTCTCTCTCTGCTCCGCAGCCCAAGGGGAGGGCAGGACTTCTTTATTATTTATCCATTTATTTATTTATTTGCATTCGTATCTCACTTTTTTCTTCAAGGAGCTCAAAGTGGCAGACATCGTTCTCCCTGCCCTCATCTAATCCCTACAGCAACACCCCTGTGAGGTAGGTCTGGCTGAGAGGAAGAGACTGGACCAAGCTCACCCAGTGAGCTTCACAGCTGAGTGGGATTTGAACCCAGGTCCTGGTCCAATTCACTAGCCATGCTGACTTCCCTGCGAGACTTGGCTCAGTCTTGTTGCAAAGGATGAAATCACACCTTCCTTTTTAAAGTACTTTAAAATCACTTGAGAGTCTTCCTTTGCTTCAGTTAACACACATCCCCACATTCTCCATTCTCTTTTGCACACCATTCCATGTGCAAAAGCCGCCTTTTCGGAAGTCCAGGAGACCCAGTTTGAAAACTGATGAGGGTGACACCTGGTGGAAAACGGGTAGAAATGCAATGCACCAGGCTAGCCTAGCCTTCAACAGCTCTTTCCAGCTGATAATGGTGGGGGTGCAATTTGGTGGGGGCGTGGGGGGTGCTGTGGGTTAAACCACAGAGCCTAGGGCTTGCCAATCAGAAGGTTAGAAGGTCGGCAGTTCGAATCCCTGCGACGGGGTGAGCTCCTGTTGCTTGGTCCCTGCTCCTGTCAACCTAGCAGTTCGAAAGCATGTCAAAGTGCAAGTAGATAAATAGGTATCGCTCCAGTGGGAAGGTAAATGGCGTTTCCACACGCTGCTCTGGTTCGCTAGAAGCAGCTTAGTCCTGCTGGCCACATGACCCGGAAGCTGTACGCCGGCTCCCTCGGCCAGTAAAGCGAGATGAGCGCCGCATCCCCAGAGTCGGTCACGACTGGACCTAATGGTCAGGGGTCTCTTTACCTTTAAGATTCCAAATGGAGATGGCATGAGGAAGCTGGGACCAGCTGGCTTCGCATTCAGCCAACCCAATTCCTATTTTTTGCAGAAACGAAGTCAGCTGAAGGGATTATGGCTTCTATGATGATAAGCTGAGTTTGCCGTACTGATTTGGTCTCTGAAACGCTCTGTGCATGTCCAGATGGTGACATATTGGGTCCCGCTCACTCAGAATGCTTTCAGAATATATCCCCGTTTTGCAGTGGGAGACACACACTCGATCTGCCCTCACCACCAGTGTAATTCCTACACTTCCAGCTTGTACAGGTACAATACCCTACCTCCTGATAGCAGCAAGATGCCCAAGAATATGCCATGTTGGTGCTCCATCATTTGAATTGCCATCTGGGCATTACAGGAAGCACCTATAAAGTCCCAAGATGTATTGAGTCCAAGGCACCTGACATTTCGAAAGCACGTCAAAGTGCAAGTAGATAAATAGGTACCGCTCCGGTGGGAAGGTAAACGGCGTTTCCGTGCGCTGCTCTGGTTCACCAGAAGCGGCTTAGTCCTGCTGGCCACATGACCCGGAAGCTGTACACCGGCTCCCTCTGCCAGTAAAGCGAGATGAGCGCTGCAACCCCAGAGTTGGTCACAACTGGACCTAATGGTCAGGGGCCCCTTTATCTTTACGTCTAAACCACATACGCATACCCCTAAACCTTTTGTGAATCTAGGTTTGGCCCCATTGAGGGACAGTGTTTCAACATGAGTAGGAAAATGAGAGTAGCCCTAAACATTTTTCTAGAAAAAAAGCACTGGCCTTCTGCTCCATGAAGCTGTCTACACTGCCTTCGAAGCTATCCAACTTGGTGCAGTTGTCAGTTCTGGGAAGCAGGGGCTTTCATGACAATCCCCATGGCCATGTCCCTTCTAAGACCATACACCGAAAAGGAATTGATGACCTTTTGTTGCAGGCATGGGAGCTGCAATACAAAGTCAGCTTGCCCCCCGCCCCCCACTGCCTTCCACCACAATCCCCCAAAATGTTGTTGAGCTTTTTGGGGGCGATTGCTTCCTGGTTCTGTTTGCAGAAACCCAGACATTTTGCCAATTTTTAAAAATCACAGAGCTGCCAGAGCTGTCAACGCACACACAATGCTTGATTTGATCCTCCCTTTTTTCCCCAGATGTAGCTCTTTATTGACCCAATATTCCACGATTTAGATCTTTCCCCCAATCCTTCTTCCCTGGCCATTTTGTGCACCATTTTGTGTGTTTGCCCCTGGTGCCAAAACGTCCTGAGCTAGCGAAGACTTCTGGTGGACTCATGAAAGCTTAGTGGTGTTTGAAACTGGATTTATGTATAAGCTAAACAAGCTATAGCTTAGGGCCCCACTCTCTTGGGGACCACCCAAAAAATTAAAGGGAGGGGGAACAGGATGTATGTTTCCAAAATATAAGATAAAAACAAATAAAATAAAACCTACATACAGCAACAGTGTTTGGTTTTGTGTTGTGTTGTGTAGGCTCCTGTGATGCAAGTAATGGGCCCTGCCTGCTAGCCTGCTCCCTAAAATATCACTGGTTAGAGACCTATTAGGTCCAT